TTTACTGTGTGAAGTTATGTGGGAATTAGATGAGTTATAAAAGGTAAAAGACACAGAATAATGTCTAACATAGAGTAAGCAGCTAATAAACACCTACAGTAGATAAGGTGAAACTAAGCTTTGCTGTAGTAGCAAATCAGCCTAACAGCACGGGACTGGTAGAATCAAGCTTGCCCTCTACTCATTCTGGATGTGCACAGTGCCAGGATCTGTTTGAGACAAAGCTGCCAGCGGTTCAATGTGCCTTAGGCCTCACCACTTACAGCATAAGACTTCCACTATTTACATGAGGAAAGGTCTTCACAGTCCACGCTTCTGTCACTATCATTCTGATCATTCTGCTACCTTCTTTCCTGCACAGAAGACACTCTCATCATTTCTAGAGAAGACAGATTCCTTTCTAGTCAGAACATCAGATCATTCTCTAGGATCTCCGAAGAATACTAAGTTGCCTCTCTCCCTCCACCGAGAACCAGGCAGATTGCAGGGTAAGAGGAAATACACTCATGAGGCCTTGGCTTGTAGCATTTCTAAAATCCTGCAGGGAAGATGCCATTAAGGCCTCTCCCAGAAAGGAGAGAGATTCTCCTGGGCTTCATCCTGCTTCTACATCCTCAGTGGAACTCTGTTCCTTGTCCTTTACCTGGCTCTCTTTGTCCACTACTGGGAAATATATACAGTGGTTTGAAGAAGATTCTTCCTTGAGGGATACACAGCTTTCTCAGCCTCTTTTCTTTCCTTCTGCATGGACAGTCAGGGCAAATAAAGGACCCTCCTTCTAAGGGCCCTACTTCTAAGTTTTGAACAGTTATGGGCTTTCTTTCCTGAAGTTTCAAGATCCCCTCAAGCTTTAGTAGGTTTCTAATTATTTACTTCCAGAATATGGCATATGTCCAACTTGTTCAGTGACACTTCCAGATCTTTTTATTTGCTTTTTCACACTCTTGAATCAAGAATGCCTTCCTTGAAGTTATGGGGCTTTAGCAGAAATCCACCCCTAATATCTGCTCTTTACCTTCAGACATTTTGTCAAAGTGTAGATTTGATTAAGCCTCTCATCTCTTAAATTGGAGATTCAAAGCAGTTGCTTTTTCTGACACTGAGAGGTTTAAATTTCTGACTCTGTTCCTTTTATTTTCTTTAATGAATGAGCCAGTTTCTCCAGAAGAATGTTTTGTTTTGTTTTGTTTTTGTCTTGTTTGTTTAGAGTACATTATCACAACCCTTTCACACTGACCCAAAGAACTTACATGGTCATGCGACCATGTAACAAGGGCAGCAACGAATGGGACATGAACATTCAGTGAGACACACCACTTGATGCCAAGTTATTTTCCAAAATGTTCCTATCAGCTTAGAGTTGAGGGTAAGCTCATCTACCCACATTCTAGTGCGTGTTTAACTCTATCAGATTTTCTCTGTTGTTGTTATTCTTCTCAGCAAAGATGGATGAATTGATGAATGTCCTGAGGATTGGGACTATGTGTTATAAATGTCAATTCTCCTTATAACTGGAAAACTGCCTGAAATATGCTTTAATGCTGATATAGTGCACATTTCTTGAATGTAAGAGTGGATAGGAGGGTCCTTTATTTTCCTTAAAAGGAACAATTTGCCAGTCCTAAGGAGGTAAATATCACAAAATATGCTATAAGACTTTGATCTTAAAGAAATCATATTAACACATTTTTTTAAAAAGTGGGTTAGATATGAGCAAGAATAATGGCCATTTTTAAAAAGAACTTTTAAATATTCTTATCCTCATCACATGCAATTGGAACATGATACCTAAAATTCCTTTATTGTGGAGTAACATAATCCCTTTGCTTCTGTATCCAGCTCTTCCAAATTGGAGACCTCTTGAACCTGTTGAGTGGGTGATTTTTCCTTACTTGGCAAGAAAATAAACTCAGTTCTGTTTTTAATTCTATGTGCCTTTCTATCACTCTCTGAAAATTTATAAATTCACTTCCTCTTACCTTTACTGGCAATCTATGTAAAAGCCACCATAGGATAAATTGTTAAGAGTTTAGGAATTAAGCCAGCTAAACCTGGATTCCACTCCCAGTTGTGTCACTTATTGGGGTGGGGGGTTACTTGCATTTCCATTGCTGAGACAAAATATTTGACATCAACAATTTAAAGTAGACGCTTATTTGGGCTCATGATTTCAAAGGGCTGCATTCATAATCAGCTGGCTCCAAGACAGAAAGGACATGGAAAGGAATGGTGGAGGAAAAGTGCTCATCTCACGACAGTGAGGAAACACAAAGGACAGAGCAAGAGATAGGAAAAATCCTTCTAGGGCATCCCCCAGTGGTACAAGCCCTCCAACTAGACTTACTCTCTAACAGCATATTCAACTATGAACTCATCAGTGGATTAATCCACTGATAATGTCCCCATGGTCCAATAATCTTTCACAAACCCCACCTCTAGGCAAACAATATATTTTCAGAGACTGTTTCTCTGTCTGTCTGTTTCTCTGTTTGTTTGTTTGTGTGTTGGAGACAAGGTCTTACTATATGGTTTAGGCAGTCTTGACTTTGTAGTGGTCATCCTGCCTCACCCACTCAAGTGCTAGGATTGTACAAACACACATGGCCTGGAGAGATATGTTAGATATAAGCCATGACATCTTGCTGTTGGCCCCTAAAAGGTTAAACTCATCTCATTCTACAAAATCTGTTCAGTCTATCTCTTGAGTCTCATAAAGAGTTGTAAGAGTTCCAGGACTGCTCAAAAGTCCAAGTACAAAATTTGATACTCTTAGCTATCAGCCCCCATGAAAATCAAAAGCAAACGTAAATATTTCCTACATAGAATGCCATGGAATAAACACCCCTATTCTGAAAGGGAGGAGAGGGAGCATAGAAGCGATTCAGAGCAAAGCAAAAACAAAACCCAGCAGAGCAAACATTAAATATTTTCACTCCATGTCCAGCACACAGGGCATGTGGTGGCAAAATGTGAGCTCTAAAGTGCTTGGACAGTCCCACCTCTGCAGCCTTGCTGGGCCTCTTTCTTGGAACTAACTCTGATTTCTGATGACTAACTGCAACTTTCCTTGGCCTGGCACCTCAACTACTTGCAGTCTCCACTACAGTTTTGGCTTCACTCACACCTGGCTGGAACAATGTCCCTGAAATGCATTTATGCATGACTTTTCAGATATTCTTCTGAAATTTCAGTGGGAGCCTCCCAGACCTTATAACTTTGTCATTTGAATGCCTGTAAAGCCAACACGTGGATTATGCTAAGATCTGCTACTGGTAATAACAGTGGGAGAGCCCCAGTGGACCATGGCTGCAGCAGTCTTTTAATGCCTGAATGTGTGAACTGAGGGAAACAGTTCCTTATGTAGTGTTAAGTGAGCAGGGTTCTCTGCGGGTTTCTTCTCAAACCAATGTCTTTCAAGAGTGTATACTTTTACACTTTTCAGATTGTGTTAAGTAGGGGTTTGCCAATTGTGAAATGCCCTCAAGTTGTCTTCTCTAATGTCCAGGTGCAAAGTATGTAGCTTCTTTTTAATGACACTAATCATACTCTGCTAGCCTTCAACTCTACAAGTGTTATTTTTCAGGCCAGGCTACAAATTTTCCACATTTTTTTTTGCTCCTAACTTTTAGTGTAAATACAGATGAAAGCATGCAGCAATAGGCATGCAACAGCCTGAACAATGGGCTGCCTTGAAATTTCAGCCCACACAAAACCTTAGAACATGGGCAAAATTTTCTTTGCCAAAATGTAACTTGAATGTTGCCAGCCCAGTTTTCAGAAGAGTCTTCATTCTTGTATGGAACCTCATGATCCTGACCTTTACTGCCAGTATTGTAGTCCTCTGAGCTCCATCCAAAATCATCCATTAAACTCTGCTTATACCATTATAGTATCTTCAAAGCTTTTCAAACTACACCCATAAATTACCTCCAAAGGTTTCTGGACCACATGGTCAGGTACAGTCACAACAATGACACCACTCCTCTAGTACCAATTTTCTGTATTAGTCACTTTTATTTCTCTGGGACAAAATAAAATACTTAATAAAATACTGCAACTAAAGAAGAAAAGCCTTGTTTGGCTCGTGACTGACTCCAAGAGAAAAATATCATGGCAAAATGCCTGGAATGGCAGCCAAGCAGCCGAGAGAAAAGAAAGTGTTAGGCATAAGAATGTATCCTTCCAGGTCATAACAAAGTGATGCACCTTTTCCATCCAGGGCTCACCTCTTGACAGCGTGTTCTACTGTAAACCCAGCAAGACTAATCCACAGAGTATCATGTTCCAAAATCTCATTTCTGAGCACATGAGTCTTTTGAGGAGATGACTTAGTCCTAATCCATAACAGCGGGCTTTAAACACCAGGTTATTATATCACATTTTAATTCTCTCCCAGAGTAACCAGAAACATGAAGTCTAGTGAATGCAAACAATCAATAGAAAATAACTAAATTACAAAGAACTCAAAAAACTAATGAAACCTAGATTATTCCTGTATATGGCAAAAGCTTCAAGTAGATGCTACCATTTTATCTCTAAAAAGAGAACAAATCATGTCTCAGGAAGAGCTAATAGTTCTTAAATAGACTCGAGTCTAACACAAGTCCCAGGGAACAGACCCCTCCATCCTGTGAGCTTTCTCTTTCTTTCTTTTCTCCCTTTCTCTCCTTTCTTTTTTCTCTCGCTCTCCTCCACACCTTCACCATGCGCCTCTCCATAAGCTTCACTATTTAAATATTCCAAGTCAAGATTGAATGCCTAATATTTGTTTTTCATCATTTATACTTTCTCTTTAAAATGCCCTATATATTATTGTTCAAGGACATCAAACTTGAGCTTATTCTAGATACGTACACTAAAGGCAAAATGGTGATAAAGCCTACCAAAGTTACAAGGTTGTCATGAGGACCACAATCAGATGAGGTTAGTTCAGTGCAAGCACAAATGTAGCAATTGTAGTGCAGTGATCATTTTCAATCAGTAGAAACTAATTAAATGAATACTAGTTAGTCCATTATTAAATTTTATTAAATGCATGGATAGAAGCCTGCGTTGGCAAATAAGCAAATTTTATCTGCATTATAGAGGAGCTCAATTTTTTTATTCTTATTAAATATGCAGAAGTATTTTCAGTTGAAAGTTACTAAATAAAAACAAAATATTCTAAGAACTAGTATTGCTATACACATATACATGAATGTGAAAAAAGTATTTTTACATGTATTTATCAATTTCTGGGTCCATTATACTTTAATAGGATTGAAGTTTATGAAATACAGTAAGTCTTCATTAAATTATACATCTGCAAACATCCAAAATATACAGGGCACTTGTCAGTTTTCACAGATCTTTTCTTCAGTTTCTTGAGAGTTATTTTTTGTTTCCTCTACAAACGTTGTGATAAATTCCTCAATACTCCTTAAAATATACAAGACACAAGCAAAACAGATTAGGAAAAATACATTAAAGAAAGAAGAACACTTCAAAGTAAACATCCATTTTAAGGTATATTTACTCCAAAACTGATAAAACTTGGCAAATTACTTTGTTTAAATCATATGTCAGTAGAGTTTTGGCCTTAGATGTAGCAAAGCTTTTCTGATATTTGAGTGCATGCCTGTTACATTTTCCAGACTGAGCTATGTAGCTGCCAAGTCAGATCATTTCCACTGTCAAGGATACAGAAAGGACTTTCAAACTGTGTGTGTGCAACTGTGCTATTTCCCTAGGTGACACAATATATGTGACCCTAGAATCTGGGCTCCCTGACTGGCTCACTTAGCATTAATTCTAACACTTTTCTCCCTTGGCTTTCTCTGCCAGGTAAGTGAGAAAGTGAAATTTCTGTTTTCTGGCCTCCCTTACAACTTTGGGGTCTGTTCGTGCCAGTGACTTTTAGGTGACAGCTCCTGGAAAAGGCTGCCTTTCCTAAAAGAAGTAGAAAAGTCTTAAAGGCCTGCTAAAATCTATCTTTTTCTGCTGTTTTTTTTTTCTCTTTGGAACATGGATCTCATGACTGAAGAAAGTGATACTAAAGCCACAGGAGGAAAATCACCATAAGAGAATTATTGATAAGGCTGGGGATTTAGCTCAGTGATGTAAGCACCTGCCTAGCAAGTGTGAGGTTGTGAGTTTGATCCCCAGTACCAAAATAAAAGGAAAGAAAGAAAGAAAGAAAGAAAGAAAGAAAGAAAGAAAGAAAGAAAGAAAGAAAGAAAACACACGAGAATTAGTGATGCCTCTGAGGCCAGGCCACCATCATCTTAACTCTTCCCTATTGATACGATTAACCCTTTATCTTTAAACCATTATGGTTTTCCACTGCTCCCATTCACACTGGAGATTTGAAATATCCCCCTGACTTTGAAGAAATTAAGTGTGTAAAATATAAATGTATGCAACATATATAATATGAGTGACTAATTTACTGTCTTATAACTTTAAAGTAGTGTATTTAAAGGATTATCCAAAGATTTAACATTACTAGATACATGTCATTACGGAAAGGAACCCTCCACAGTCATATAACCTCCCCACCATTCCTGACTCCTTTGTGTAAGAATTCACCCCAAATTTTTAGGTTTTGCTAGTGAATTTATTATCACATCGCTAAATAATATGTGCATTTTGATGCTTAACTCTTAGGCTAAGTAATTTTAAGCACAAGAAAAGATATTATATATATATATATATATATATATTAAAGTTAGGGCTCACTAGAAGTAGTATACTGAAGTTCTATTACATTAAATCTAGTTTTGAGTGAATGGTTGTGAGAAAATCAAGTCATTACATATCTTTTTTTGAAAAATTCAGTATATCTTGAACAATTCATTATATCTTGAACATTTTATGTTAATTATAAAATAGCACAAATGAATCATATGCAGAATGCTTATTTCAACAAATATTAGTTATTTGCAGCATGAAACATAAGGCTTGAGATAAATTCAAGATGTTTAGAAAATAAAGAAGCAGTATTTTCATAACAGCATCACAGGGAATTACTTTATGCGTTTTGGACAATCAGCAGCAGACATCACCTTACATATTAAAGTTCATGGAGTTGCAGTACTAAATAATTTTCAATATTTTTTCTGTTTTCTTTTTACTTGGGATCTTGTGACCTATTATTTAACTGCTCTGTCTAAATGATCTGAGTCTCACTTCTGCCCAAGTATTTAAGTGCTTCGTAATTCTTTCTCCATTTACTTTGTGAGACGTACACTTTGATTTTTTTCTTGCTTTGTGTTCATTTTTATCTTGCATAGGTTTCTCATCCTTTAGCCTGAGACCTCTAGGTATTTCCAAGGATCATTGTTGGTCCAAAGGTTTTCTACATTTTACCCACCCCAGAAAGATCCATTTTTAGGGTTAAAGTCTTAACATAAACATGGCTTACTTCTAGGACCTGTCCACATTCTAGAAGTATTTCTCCAAATTTGAAAACAAGTGCTGCCAAAAATAAAACACATCGTTCCCCTTCTGTTAGCACCCATTTCTGGTTTCCATTTTGTTACTAGTTATATCAATATCTTACCCTCTACATGAGCAACCCTGAGCCCCTCTCTCATCATCATCCCACAGAAGAATTTTGGTCAAACTAATTATAAAACAGACTGCTCTTCCCTGAAACACCTTTATTATTAGAGTTTGCTATGAAAGTCTCCTGTTCAAATGGGAATCCATGGACAATACACTCATTTTTCTTTCTTCCTATTCACTGTTACATGATCAGATTGCTGCTGCTCTTTTCTATAAATTAGGAATCTATTCCAGTTTTTCAATTCTGTGCATTTCTATCTAGAGGCACTCATTTTTATTACACAGGCACATAAGTAAATGATTACTAGGAAAATAATTTTGAAGTGATGTCTTCTTACATTTTAAAAAATGAATCTATACCAGATATTTCAGTTGGTTTAGGAAATTAATCAGGCAGGTATTACAGATGATTCAAAGGCTCTCTTTACATTTTAATTTATAAAAAACATTGGGAGCTTGGATTTTCTTTTTTAAATATGTTCATTTGTTTGTAAAAAATTTGTTATTGTGGGGTCACTTTTTTATGTTTCTTAGAAATATTTTCTTATATTTTGGAAAAACATATATATGTGTACCTCAAGTTGAGTTGTTCTGAACTGAACCTTGAACTTAGGAAATAAGATTAATATAAACCAGTTATATTATTTTTCTTAACTAAATTTGTATTTCAAAAGTATTTGGTAAGTAGCCTTTTCCTATTGATAACACTGAAAGATTATTAGAGCTTACAATTTCACTGAAACAAACACAAAACAAACTGAAACACACACAATAGTTTATGTAACGTATATCCTAATAAAAGAAGTATACCATTAGATGATGGAAATAAACCCTCCATAGACTGCAAGGTAAAGGGAAAAAGTACAGAGCCAACTATAGCTATATTTATATTACTAGAAATAAGTAAACAGTTGAACAAATAATTTACTTGGTGTTTATGTATCAGACTTTGTAGGAAAGGCATTGTGCTGCTTCATGGGCTGGAAGTGCGGGAAGTTAAGGAGATTTGTACATGTAAATGTTTTCCAATTACCTAACATCCATTTTGATCATTAATTGTATTTTTGGTTCCTCACACAAGAGAAACATTAATTGTATTTTTGGTTCCTAACACTATTTAAATATTTAAATATTTAAATATTTAAACATCTGTGTCCAATTTATTTCACTTAAAAATATGGTCAACCGTATCCTTCTTTATGGCAAAGTTGTACTCTATTGTATATAAAAACTGCATTTTCTTTATCCATTTATCTGACAATGGGTATTTTAGTTGCTAGCTATTATGAATTGTGCTGCTCTGAACATGCATGTGCATATATCACTGAGGTATGATTCTTTAACTCTTTTTGGAAGATAACAATAGCTGGGTCAAATGGAAATTCTAGTTTCAGGTTTTTGAAGAATCTCCATAATGATTTCCATGTTGGCTGCACCTACTTACACTCCTATCAACAGTGAAAAAGAGTTCCTTTTTCCTTTGCTTCATTTGTTATTGGTTGAAGTCTTGATGACAGTCATTCTTTCTGGAGTGAGATGGAATGTCAGTGTTGTTTTAATTTGAGTTTCTTAAATGATCAATGATTTCGAATACTTTTTCATATATTTATTTACTGTTTGTACTTCATGTTAGAAGTGTGCATTCATTTTAGGATTGGGTCTTTAAATGTGAGGAGTCTGATTTTTTGTATTCTTTATATATTCTAGGTATTAGTTCTTTTTGTGAAGAAGAGCTGGTAAAAAATTTTTCCCACTCTTTGGGTTGTCTCTTCATCACATGGTGGTTTCTTTTGCTGAAGTAAAGCTTTTAATATGATGAGATCCCCGTTGGTTCTTTGTATTATCTCCTGTGCAATTCATGAGTTTGTTCATAAAATCTTCGTCTTCACCTATGTCTTCAGGAGTTCTACCTATTTTATACTCCAGACGATTAAGTGCTTCTGCTTTAATATTTAGGCGGGGGGGGCATCACAATCTCCAGTTTGAAGTAATACTGCAAAGCTACTTGATAAAAAAAAAGTGATATGGTACTGGTCTAAATAAACAAATAAATAAATAAACAGACCCAAGTATCAAGGGAACAGAATAGAAGATTCAGAAACAACTCAGCCACCTTATCTTTGGCAAAGGGGTCAAGTATTTTCACTTGAAGAAAGATATACTCTTTACCAAATGGTGCTGGGAAAACTGGATTTCCACCCATATCTCTCATCATGAACTAAAATAAAATCAAAATGGATCAAAAATATTACATATCTTTTTATCTTGATAGAAAGACTTACTGCTGTTCCTCCTCACTGATGTTACTCTTTTTCATGATCTGCTTCACATTGTTTTCAATGACCTACAAAAAATTGAAAATCCTTTGATCACATAGAGTGGCAACACATTTGACTGTACATAGATTATCATCTTTGGACTACCATATCTGGATCATTTATAGATAGATTATCATTTATAGTTTCACATACTAGCAGCAAACTATAAGGAATTTTGGAGGGGTACCCCCAAAGTTGCTGTAAGAGCCAGTTCATTAGATTCTTTGCCACCAATAAACTAAATACATTGAATGATAATGAATGGATGAATCAGAAAAATATTGTTGGCATATTCCACTGTTAAAACTTAGAGTTATTTTTATTAATACATGAGTTTACACCTGCCTAGTTTTAAGTGAATATTTCCATAGCCAGATATTTCAAGAATTACAGAAATTTACTATGTAGAAAAAGAACACATGTATTTTTGAGTTATAACACAGCATAAGCAAGCACTTCAGGAAATACTTCCATAAATTCTGAGTCACACACAAAATAAAACTTACTTGTATTTTCTTCTGTAGTATTCTATTTTTTGTTTCCAATTTTATAGCTTCATTCTGAAGGATGGATGGGTTTTAAAAGCAAGATATTTTGTTGAGAATATTTTTAACTACTGTTTACTATTTATGAAAAGAAAGTAATATGTGAATATTGTCATTATAATTTTAAAAGTACTCACTAGGACATCATTTATAAGTCAATGAATAAACAAGGAATGAAATGAAGGACAAACAATAAGGATAAATCTTATATCTATGAATCAAAAAATAAAAAAGTAAAAGTTGCTGCTTCAAAAGATTAAAAAAACACTTGAGAAATTCTAGCATGGAATGGAGCCTCACTTTTTGATGACTGGACACAAAACTGTACGAATACATGATAGTAGACATGTCTCATTTTCTTGCACTTAGCTTTATCAAACTTCACAGATAACATAAGGTTTTACAAATTGAAGGTCTGTGACAACCATCAGTCAAGCAAATTTATTGTCACCATATTTTATAATACCTAAATGATCATTAACATTTTAGCAATAGATCATTTTTAATTAAGGTACAATATTGAGACTGCTGTCATACATTTAATAAACTGAAACACAATATAAACATAACTTTTATATACACTGGAAAATAAGAAAATTGATAGGATTCATTTTATTGCAATATAACCTTTATTGTGATGGTTTGAAACCAAATCCAGTGTATGCCTATATCAATAAGTAACATATATTAGCAATAATTGATTACAAAGCGTAAGGTAAAATTTTTGAAAATCTTCTTTTATAATAGTAACAGATCTTATAAAAACAATATAATTATTTAAGATCAAGACATAGAAATAATATATTAATGATAAATGATTCTGTCTAACACATACATGGCTTCAGTTTTGCAAGATCAAAAGAAATCTAAAGATGGATTGTGGCAATCATTGCTGCATTAGGTGAATACATTTAACTCCTTCATTGTACAATTAAAATGATAAGTTTTATTTTAAGTGTTTTTTTCCACAATTTCAAACATTTAACTACCAGAAAAAAAGTGATAAAATGATCCCTGATGATAATGTTAATATTGTACGGCTATCATTTTCTTCCAAAGAAATTAATACATTCATTGTAAGCACAATCAAAATACTATTATTCTGTAACTTGAAAATGTAGTTAATAGTATGGATGAGAATAGCTAAGAGTATTGTAAATAGTGGTGAGAAGATAATATGAAGACTTATTTTTCCAGGTAGCCAACATGTTGAAATGGATTAACTATGATAAGTAAGGCATGGTATCAGTTAATTAAAAACCTAAGATACTTAGATTATCATCATCTTCTATATACTATTTAATTCTTATTATTCTGTTTTCATTTTAAAAAGTAGTGTGGTATAATATATGTTATTATATAACCATGAGAAGAAAAAAAGAAGACAATCACATGGTACAAGTAAAAGTTACACTGAATTGGAGTCTGCACAATTTCTGCTCAGCTTCTACAATATTTAACTATTTCCAGAATTCTATGGGGATTTTTTGTCATCTGCATTTTTGTTTTAACTAGATATTTATTATTCTAGTATTTGTGCTACGGACATTTTGAAAGGAAAATATATTTGCTCCAAAACAATTAAATTGCTTCATGTACTTGCTAAAGTTTGTAAGCAGGAGTAAAATGTAAATATTTAAATGGGTAAATGGATACCTCTATGCTTTTAATCTTACTCTCAGTGACATCTAAAATACTGGTGTGCACCAAAGCAGTTTTAATTTGTGTTTCAAGAGCTTGAATTTCATCCCATTTATTGAGTATTTCACGCCTCTTCTTTTCAACCTTCTCAGTGAGAGTAAGTTGTTCTTCATCAATTATAGTTTTCTGAGAAGATCCTAGAAATATATTTGAAAATAAAATTTAAAATTTCAGCTATTTTGAATGTCAGTGTACATTATTGACAATATTATGTGTTAGATATAATTATAGACTGTAAAATAACTCAAATCCCCAACACATAAATGAAGTGAAAATAATCTGATTCAAAAATTCTATGCCCTTCCATTAACTCATTCAGATTATCAGTACTTGTTGAACACCCACCTTTGCAGACATTTGGCTAAGTGGCAAGATTCTCTACTAAATTATGAGAAAGTGATAGTGAGAAAGTTGGAGGTACAGTGGAGAAATAAAAAGAAGCATCTTATCACTTGGGAGGATTTTTCTGGAGAAGTGTGACTAACTTGAGTTTGAAGGATGAAAAGGTGTAAGACAAGAACACACTGTGCAGAAGTAGCGAAGAATGGAACAAGACCTCAAGATACAAAGCTGGCACAGAAACAGGCAAATCTACAAAGGCACTTGCCTGATTTTTCCTTAGCAGACTGTAGCAATTTGCACTCCATCTCTAATTCATTTCTCAGCCTACAAATCGATAGTAAAAAAAAAAAAAAAATAGTGAACTATTAGTGCCCATTTGTACCTTTTTTCTTTTGTCTCCTTTATACTAACATCATTTCATTGAGAAAAAAAAAATGACCTGAACTTTTCACTGTATAACATAAAGAAGAAACTGAAGATAGCTGTGAGAGCCCCAGCCAGGCAAGTTAAGGTCAGGCTTGAGCCTTAGACCTGAAGGGCAGGGTGAGGTTGCCTGGTGATATGCACACTGTGAACACAGCCTGCCTTCTCTGGGCCTCCCAGAGCAAGCAAGAGTTTACGTTATGCTGTGAGAGAGAGAACCCTAGACCAAGTTAGAGCAGAAGACAACTTTTGCCTTTTCTGCTAGCTACACAGAAGCCATGCTCTGTATTTGGTTTTGTTCCTTGTTTTGTTTCCTTAAGGATATTTTGGTTGTTTCCAATTTGCTTAATCTTTCCTTTTTTCAAAATCTTTGCAAACAATATGTTTATCCAACTGTCACTTGACCATGGAAAACCATACACAGAGATCACAATTTTTTTTTAAGTTGGAAAACAATAAGGGTATTTCTATGAGGTGTCTTGACTTTGTGGCTCTCCCGTCTATCAATATTTGAAGCAGCATGCCAGAGTGGGGTTCCTTCAGATTCCCTGAAAGTTCCCCATGAAGATATCATATTTGGTAAGATATCTTATTCATATGCATGATGGCTGTGGAAGAGGCCAGGGGAGAGGATGACATTGGTGAATTTAGCATGCAACAATGCGCAAAGTCATAGATACATGATCATCACACAGTTTTGAGCTCTTTGAAACAAATACCAGCCAAACCTAGGTCAAGTCATGCTACTAAGGCCTCACATGTCGTTGTGCTCCAGGGCTGCCTTGGTGGCCTGCACGAGCCTCCTCAGCTCCTTCTTGGCCTCATCAACATCCTCAGGCCTCACAGGGCCCTTCTCCAGCCCTTGGATTTCTGCCTGGAGCATCTGGGAGTGTAAGGCAAAGCAAGGGTAAGGCACGCCCAGAAAAGGCACAAAATATTCCTTTTTATTGGTGCTGTGAACCCAAGGTGCCCTTGGGTTAAAATAAAAATTCCAGCTAAAATGGGCACATTGGGAAGACTGGAGGGAAGGAAGCAGAGGTAATGCAGGAGGCATTACTGGGCAAGTGAACTTCTAGAGAAAGTACCCTTTTTAGTATATTAAAGTTTTCTTTTCCTCAGAAAATTATAGAGGATATGTATTTCATGGTTTCATTGTATGTGTTGGGGAGATGGGGCATGCTGAATAAAGCGATTCAGGTGCACTATATTTAGCTCCATGGTTATTCTAAATTAGTGAAAAACAATCATAAGCTGATTGTTGTACACAAGAATAAAACAATATTGTGCCCAAATGTGGAGTGCAAAAGCTACTCAGGTCCCTTCATGATAACACTTCAACAACGCCTTTTGGTATTCACTGCTTCAGTCCCATATTATATGAAAGTGGGGGAGGGAAGACTTTGGCAGTACTATGTCAGTCTATAGGAAGGTCCTTCAGAACGTTTTTTCTACTGCTCATGAAATGCAGATGCAAATACAGACAGACTACTACACTTCAGGACTGATTGTTACCTTAATCTGCTTTGTGGGCTGGGAGTCCAGAAGTATTGCCATGTAGAGTTCATACTCGTTCTGTACACACACACACACACAAAAAAAAAAATCCATTGGAAACATATTAGGAGATAATGACACCTTGAAAAGTTGTGTGTCTGTTTAAATAATATAGGAATTAAGGATCAGTTTTGATTTTTAAAAATTATATAAAGTATTTCTATGATATATTAAACCATGCACACTAACATTTATAAAACAATATTCTTTGAAGCATGTTTACATGTTAAGTACTGATCAGTTCAATGTACTAAACTACACTGTACAAATACACTACAGTGTACAATAAACTACAGTAAATCATCCCCTGCCAGCCAGAAGTTCTATGGATGTGGGTCTTACAGCCTGTCAAAGGGGAGCTTTCCAGTGACAAGAGCATCTCTGAAGAATAGAACACCACCTGCCACTGGTAACCATCCCTTGTCACTAGAGAAATTAGAAAATAGCATCCTAGTCAAGCAGTATAATTTCAAGTCAGATTCTACATGAGGCTGGCTTTCATCATAAAATCACAAGAAACCTATAGTTCCACAAGGACTCATATAAAATTACACATCTATGATTATAAAAGTTTATGCATTACACATGTACCAGTACACAGTTAGAAAGCTTTGGTGGACAAACATGAGCTGACGCAATAAGCTAACTGGGTGCTTATTTGGCAAGGCCCTGAATGATGTATGTGGCTATGGCCAGGGTCACGCATGGCTTTTGATGTCTTCTTTCATGAAATGGAGACAGTCAGGCAATGAGGTTATTCCCGAAGTATATCTCAGAAAAACCTCACATAGATCTCCATTGTTATGCACAATGTGTATGTTTCCCTACCTTAATTTCTTTCAAGAGGTTGCCAAATATCAGAGAGCTATTGCAAATGTCTTCAAAGACTTCTCCAAAAACCTGCAGCCTGTTGAACTGTTGTGAGTCGCACGTGCATATTTTCTGGAGTTCCTGGGGAAAAGAGAACGAGCTCATTTCTAGTGGCCTTCATTCTCCTCTCAGAACAGTTCCTCAACTTGAGGAATCGGAGGCACAGTTGCCATTACCCAGGTGTCTGGTCTTCTCTGAGCAGGCATATAAAACCAAGGTGACTTGTTCTCCCAGCAGTCACTGAGAGCCTGGTCATGACTTTGTATTCTTATCCTTACCTCATCTTTCTCTGATCTTTGTACCCAAGAATCCAAGTGCTGCCTCTACAGTCTCCCCATAGCCACTTCCTTCTTCCATCAGCAAGCCCTCTGGCATAGTTATTTCAGGTATGATCAAAACACACTGTAAATGTTTAAATTTTAAAGATATATCACAATAAAAGAGACAATGCCATTGATCCCCCTCAGAATATTTCCATTCATTTTGAACACACTTCTCCAATTTGAACACACTTCTTGCAACTTTCTGAAGCAGTTCTAGAAGTTCTCTTTGTATCTTTATGAATTATGATTTAAAGAAATATGCTAAATTCTGCTCTTCAGTGCCATCCAACAGAAAGGCAGGCACACTAAAACATTATGGTAAGTCCTCATTTAAAATTCACCAGACCTGGAACTGTGCAACTCTGACTCTCCCAAAGCCGGTAAGACCATGAGAGGTAAAGGGTTTGAACTGATTCAAGACATCAAAGCATGCAAAACAGTACAACTTAAGACTCTCACTGAAGAGCACTGCCAGAACTGCTTCTTAAAGCAGCAAAAATGGTGGCCTAAGTGTGTTTGCAGTGAGAGGGAGTATTCCAAGGGGGGTTTATGGCAATGTCTCTTTTACTATAATAATTTTTAAAGTTTTGATTTGTATATTTTTTCAATGCATAATGAATATATTTATCCTGGGGAATTGGTACATACACATAGAACATCTTGATCTTTTTTGTTTCCCCTTCCCTTTTCTCTCCCCTGTCTCCTTTATCCATAGGTCCCCTTCCCATCTTCACAAAGTTTGTTTTCCTGCTTTACTGATTTGCCAGTCACACCTCATACAAACCATGTTCTGCTCTTGTATCCATGTGGCTTCTCCCATGTTCCACGCCAGCCAGAGCAGGTATTGCAGATGTGCTGTGCAGGGATACTCCTGCATCCTTTCGCCTGCTCATTGTTTTCCCTCTACAGTGTTCTTCCACAGTAAAGTGTGCATACCTTTTCTTAGATCCCACAAACACTGCCTAATTGCTACACAGAGCATCTATCATTTCTGAAGATGAACTTGCCTCCAACGTACCAGTGTCCAAATGGTACCTTCTACTGCACTCTGTTATCATCTAATGATTACGTGGAGTAATCTCAGCACCTGGCAGTTTTATTCCATTCTACCTGCACCCATGAACAAGGTACCTGAGGACAATTCTCAGAAACTGAGCCCTGTGTGGACAGAACAGCAAACAGCTCTCCTTACCGCCTCCAGTTTCTTTTCATGGCTGATTGCTACCTTGCTCCCAGTGAAGTCACTCTTCAGACCTTGCTTTACTCCAACTGCTCTTTGGAAACTCAAGAACTTCTTGTACCTGTCGGCTTTTGTCACACTGGCTAGGTAGGAGCTGACATACTGGTACTCATCTGGACCTGGGGGAGACAGCGTGCACTGGCGGCTGGATCTTGCCTCCTTGAACTTCAGTACCTTCACCTCAGGCAACCTGAGTTCCTCTCTCCGACGTTGCTCTGAGGGGCGCTCAAGCACCTCTTCTTCCTTTTTCTCTTCCTGCAGAATCTGCATTGGAATAAAATCTTCAAAAGCATGTAAATTTCGTGAAACTGCAGTTTGGGGGTTTAAATACCTGAAGAGTTTGGTGTCCGGAGCATCACTGGGAACCAGAGCTGTGTTTATGGTAAAATAAGACAAAGCATCCTTCATCTCAGCAGTCCTCCCGTACATTGCTTTCTCTATTCTTGCTGGGGGGACTGTCTCCCACCTTGACCTATGGGCGCTGTGCCAGTGATGCAATATGTTCTTTTGTGGCCTGTAGAGTTTGTTGAGGTTCAGGTGCCCTGAGATATAGAGACAGACATCCTCTTGGTGATCCTTCTGAAGTCTGTTCAGAAGCTCCCTTAGGTTGCACAGAGTTTTGATACTGTGCAGTTCACAGTGTCTCCGCCTCAGGTAGACTGTTTGGAAAAAATAATAACATGACTATGAAATATTGTGTTTATTCCCACTGTAAATCAGTCATGCGCATTTGCCAACCTGGCATGCATATCTTATATCCAAAAATGAGGTCTCTAGAAAGGTTGTGGCAGCTCAGGTTATTAAGGAAGAAAGAAGTACTTTAATTTCACAGAGTACTTATTACAATGCTAGCACAACTCTAGAAAAAAGCCTAAAATATTAACTACAACTCTTAATGATGATACATAATGATGCCTTCTTGAATGTGCTAAACAGGGTATACTAGGGAATAAAAGGGAGTTGTTTTTTCTTCCTTTGTACTAAAAAAGTGTCAGAATTCCCTACGATTGATGTGCCTTTCATTCCTGCCTGTCCTGTCCTCACAAAGAATCACCTATGAGTACGGTGACAAGATGGCAACCCCTCCCACGCAGGTGCCTATTCCTTGAATTCCCGAACAAGGTCTAGGATATAAAACTGCAGGACACCTTGGTTTCCTTGCCTATTCTTAACTGTGTGAGTACAGACCTGTTACATTAACTCTCTGAGCCTTAGATTTTCTTCTGCAGAATCAGGATAATCACTGCTACAAAGTGATTCCTTGACACCCATGGAATCACTTTGGGCAATGACACCCTTAGCATGGAGTAGATATTCCATTACTCGTGCTCATTCTTATTAAAGTACTACAAAATGAAACACTTCTGAAAGATCCTGAATCAGCCTGAATTTGACTTATAACAAGTTGTCATCCAGCATGAGCAAAGAGGGCTTCCTCCTGGGGTACTGTGCAGTGTGATGTCTATCCCCAGAGGCAATTGCATAGCCTTCTGGAGAGCTTGAGAAGTCTAAACAAGAAGGAGTTAATCTGTCCATGGAGGCCAAGATCTCCTCTGTCCCCAAAAACCAAATGATTCTGTCTCACAAGCCAAGCCCAGCTAGCCCGGGGCCCCAGCAGAGCCTGAACAGGCCCAAGATACACCTACAACCAATTTCAAGACCCCAGTGACAAGCACTTTGGTGATCAGCCTCTACCCCAATGTGAAAAAAGACACTGAAAGACATTATGAGACCAAATATGAGCCAAACAGCCAGCTAGGATTGAGACTGTCCTCTGAATATAGCCTTTCCCTGTCTGTTGGGCTTGTCCCTTTATTCCATGACCACCTGAGGAAAGGTAAGCAAGCCACATATAAACCCAATTCTATGCCAAATCTAAGTGGAAAGCCTTGCCTGTAAAGTCAGGATGCATCATGGCATATACCTGAGAGAAGAAACAAAGCCCAGAGAAAGTGAGAAGCAGTGATGGGTTCCCTGCTGTGTGACAAATGACCATAGATGGCAGCTTTGGCAACTTCAGCATGAAGTCTCAGTTCTGCATGCTGGGTTCTCTGCTTGGGACCTCTCAGGGTTGAAATTGAGGTGACAGCTAGCTATGTTCCCAAGAGATTGGATGTAAAATCCATTCCAGACTCATTCTTGTTTTTATCAGAATCCACTTCCATCTAGTTGTAGGAGTGAGGTTCCTGTAAGCGGCCATCAGTGGGGTTGCTCACTGGCCCTAGGGGCTGTCCATATTTCTGACTCACAGCACTCCATCTGCACCTGCATCTGTATCTTAACTCCATCTCTATCTCTGTCTCAGTCTCCATCTCCATCTCCATCTCCATCTCCTAGACAGGAAACTCTTCCTGCTCTGCACTTCTCACTTCTCTAGAACCACCCTTTCTCTCCAGGCCCCACAAGATGCTGCTTTAGACCAGCTCTGTCTCTCCTTTCTGCTGACCTGGAGTGATGCCAGGTGTGTGCACCAGGGTGAGCTAGACACTCTAGCTATCTCAGAACTCGGCACACCTTACCAACATGGCCAAATTCATGGCCCAGCCTCCCCGTACTACTTAGTGTAAATGCAGACCGTCATCTGCTCTTGCATGAGCCAACAGTGCTTCATATGGAAGCAAATGATTCCAGCCAGAGACTTCTTGAGAAAAATAAAACACTTATTAACAGATAGAAGATTAATAGAACCATTTCTCAAGACAATCATTATAATTCATCAAAGGAACATAGAATGCAAGAAAAACAGGTAACACTAACCCTACAGGAAAAAAGGAAGCTACTCACTTACTTGTTGCTGTTCCATCCTTCAATTTGATTATTTCCAAGAAAACTTGAGGCCTTTGAAATTAACCAACATAGCCACCCACCTATATTTAGTACATCTTTAAGTTTGATAATAGAGAGGCTTACTTTTCTGGACTCAAAAAATCCAGATTCCAATTCTGTCTGTCGAGTCCTGTAATGTTTACTATGTATTACCTTCTGCCATCCAGTATTACAGTTATTCAAACCACTGGTATTGTATATGCTGCCATCTTTAGTACATGCAAAAATAAAAGTTTAAACTATTCACTAGAAAGTGTCTCTCTCTTACAAATGATCTGAAAACATATTTAAGAAAAGCCAAATATTTTAAGCATGTATTGATTAGAAAGACATAACAATACATTTCTGAATGAGGTTTAGGTTAATTAAACATTTTCAATATTTTTAGAATTTAACATTTTAAACACAGAATGTTGTTTTTTATTTTGTTTTTATTTCTTATTTATTTACTTATTTGGTACTAGGGATCCACTCAAGACCCAGTGCTTGCCAGGCAGGTACTTGTGCTGCTGAGCTAAACCCTCAGCCCATAGCCCATCCATATATATATATATATATATATATATATATATATATATATATATTCTTCAGGATAGAAAGTTCATCAAGATCAAACAAAGATGGAGAAGAGGAAACAAAAAAGAAATTAAGATGCATTATGTATGGAATATAAACAAGGAATATAAACATTTTGTGCTGCAAACGTGTGTTAATAAAATAAGTAAATAACATTTTAGTAAAAGAAAGTGTAGGTCTTCAGTGTCATCACTACTGCAACCCTGCCTAGGTTGTCTCATCCCTTGGAACTCTGGAATCCATAGGAATGTCATGATCTTTTTCAGGAACATCCTTGTCCTTATCCTCCATCTCCAAAGTCAAGTGTCAGTGGAATGAATTCACAGCAGAGCCAGCAGATCTGTGATGCAAAGGTCCACTGCCCAGTAAGGCAGGCCAGTCAGTGGAGACTTAGGGACCCCAGAGGACCCCAAAACTATTGTATAACTCTGTGGGGCTGTTTGGCTCTTCCAGGACCCCACTGACAGCACTGCAACAGTGGCCGGTTGAATTGCTCTGTACACACTCATCTGCAACCATTTTTACAAATTCCCAAAAGAATGAACTTTGTGTTACTGGTATTAGAACCTTCAAAGGGTCACAGTCACTGGTCTTTTTTTAACTGGGGATTTGTCAGTTAGGATTGTTCTGTTTAATTGGAGAACAAGTGTTTCAGAATTCTAAGGAATAATAAAAAAATCTGAATGCCACACACTGAGCTGTATGACTCAGGGTATGAAATAAAAGTCCTACCTCCAGGAATCCTAAATTCTGTGGCAGATTTGAGACATAAGTGCCTGATAAGGGGATATCACATCACAAGGCAGCAGTGACTATGAAGGACAGGGGAGCTACAGAAAAAGATAGATGGATCTTACCTAAGTCTCTTTCTCAGATTTCAAATATGGAGAGTAAGTGCCCAGCTATCACCTTCAGGAGTGTGATAAGAGGACTTTGCTGGTGTATCAGAGGACACGTTTAAAAAGATAATCCCATCCATCATCTGGATGGACCCAATCTAATTATAAAAGCCCCTAAAAGCAGAGAGGCTTCTCTAACTAGATTGCCAAAAGACAGGGGACTGGCAGGGACCTCCAAGATTCCAATAAGAGTGCAGGATCTTATGGCCACACTGGCTCTGAGGCAGAGGACCCATGCAAGGACTTTAGGAAAGACTTTAGTCAAAAGCAGCAAGAGGACACGTGTGGTTCCCTGTCAAGAGGCACTGGAAATGCCAGTAAAGCAGACAGCCTGGGAAGGATCCTTCCATCAGGCTCCAGAAAGGCACACATTCCTACCAACACCTCTGGCCAGGCACAGAAACCCTGAACAGATCCCTGGGGCTCATGCAGGCCTGTGACTCACAGAACTGAATTCATACTGGGAGCTCTTTTCAGTCTTGTATTTTTGGGAATGCATTACTATAGCAGAAGAAATAGGATGCAGCCTCCAGAGGATAGGTTTGATGGTCCATGAGGGAAAAAGCATATGTCCATGGAAGCCAATGGGGTAAGTCTTGCTACCCACACAGAGGGACACCAGAAGCTGTCAAGGAAAGACACTTCCCACTGCTATCCATAGGCCTCAGTAGGGGAATGCATTGTTGAGTTCTCCACTTGTTCCTTAAAGAAAAAGATGCCTCAGAAGCTGGGAGATGTAAACGAAGTCCCAGGTACTGTGTCCTTGCAGCATTCCAAGGCTTAGTGTTCAGATACTCCACGCACAGTACACAGCCCATTGCAGATGGCATGAGACATGCACAAGGGACCTCCAAAGGGTCGTTGCAATGCCCCAACTTGCTCACTGACTTGGGCACATGCACAGTACCACCTGCAACTACATAAAATGAGACTGCCTTCAAACTCTGTGCAGAGCAGACTCTGCCTGGTGCACACAGATTTCCTCTGCACCAGGCACCCATCAGTGTTCCGTGAAGACTGGATTCTCAGTGAAGACTCTTCTTCCTTATATCGCATTATGAAGACAAATAGAGGGACTGAGACACAGAGACTGGATGCCCTGCCTTGTAGGCAGGGGTGTGAGGTCAGTGGAGTTGCAGTGTGAAGACCCATAGTGGCAGCAGTGGGAAACTCCAGAATGCTCCCCCTTGTGTAGGAAGAACGCTCTGAAATGGCCAGAGATTTGCCCCTTTGTCCTCATCTTCTTTTCCGTGCTCACACACACACACACATTCACACTCCTGCACACACTGTACACTCAGCCATTCAGACACACACCACACTACACACCCCACGCTACACACCGCACACTCCCACATGCTACTCACACTCTGCAACCCCTTACTCTCCACCTCCACCCCCCCCCCCCGCCAGACCTCCCCATTGACTCATCTACACAGCCACACACCAGAGGTCCAGTCTTAAACTCCAGCGATCTGCAGCCCCGAGAAAGTTGAGAAAGTTTCCATTTTTCATAACTGGTCCCAGACGCTCTGTTCCCAGGCACCAAACACCAAAAGTCAAACACATGCTCATAGTCCACTTACATTGAGGCTCTAGGTCCTTAGCCATGGCCTCCCTGCCTCTCAGCTTGCTGCTGAGGTTAGCGGTCACCATGGGAACAGTAAACATTCCAATGCCCCCTCTAGCGGCCTTCTGTCCTCAAGGCAGGAGGCCCAACCTCCTTCACCACGCCTCCCCCAGGGAGCACAGGGTGTTTTCCTTTGTAACGTGTAACAATTTCTATGATTTGAAAACTATAAAAATTAGGGGGAAAAAACATTTAGGCTTTCTAATTCCTTTCCAAACCTGGTGGAGCAGCTAACTAACTGATCTTGCTCATGTCCTGTAAAGGTGAGAGGATCTTAAGGTTCAGAACTCTTCCAGCTGTACTAGAAGTGTAGCTCTGAGTCAGTCATTCACTAAATTATCAAGCTGTTATGAGGCAAAGTTGAATAATTTGCCCAAGATCCGTGCACACACATTTAAGGAACATGAGTACCTGCGTGTGACCACACAGTTTATTTTTCGTCTTCAGCGTAGGCCATAGGGAGAGTGAGGAAAAAAGAAAAACCTCCCAAATTGTGAAAAGTGTGATTCTAGTTGAATTTTTCTAGCCTGAACAAACCAGGTGTTATAAGAAGCTGGTTGCTCTAGGCGGTTACTCTGAGGTAACTGAAAAAGAAATGCTCCCTCCCAAGGGTCTGCAGTGGCCAGATGTGGGAATGAAGTCAGCTGATCTAGGGTGTTCCTGCTTGTGTGTGCGCATGCATGTGTGCTCACGTGTATGTCTGTGAACCACGATGCCAGCCAGATACTTTAAATGGGAACATCCTGGATCTGTCAGGATCCTAGGCTGTGTCTTGGCTCCCAGGTCAGGGGTGTGTGCATTTAACCTGGAAATGTCTCCTGTGACAGTGTTTCCTGGTTTCTCTCTCCAGTGCCCACATGGGCAGGAGGGCACCCGGACCCTAGGGCTGGCATGGAGACACCCACGTGCATAGGTGGATCTCAGTGTTAGAGGGGAGATCAGACTCTGTGCCTCCAGCCTGGGCTGAGGCAGAAGAATCGCAAGTTCAAGCCCAGCCTGGGTAATTTGGAGATCCTGTCTCAAAATAGAAGACAATAAAAAGGGATGGGGATGCAACTGAGAGTGAAGGCCCTGAGTCCAAAACTTGATGCCACCACCACATCAACCATGCAGGCAGACCAGGGTTTGTTTCCATAGACAGGCAGGAAGACCTCAGGCCAGGCAGGAGAACTGCATCCAGAGCAGCTGTTCACTCCCTCTCCAGTCAGCTAGTGCTGACTAGTGCCCACCTGCACCTGGGCACAAAAATGGGTTTGGCTCCATTTATGTGAAGTTGCAGAAAGTTGGTTTAGATAAGAAAGGAAACGTTTCCAGGGGAAGCTTCTCCCAGGTTCTCCTGACCTTCAGAGCTAACAAATGATTCCACACCTTCACTCTAAAGATCAGTGTTCAAATTATTACCAGGTTTTAAAAATCCCTTCCGTGGCTCCCTGTTGCTTACTATATCATCAGAGTGTTTAAAGGAGAACATGTGAGGTAGTTACATTGTGTGTGCTACGAACTGATCCACCAAAGCCCCGCTGGGTCCTCCTGGGAAAACCCAACTTTCTTGTGGTGTCACTGCGGCTGCTGCTGAGCTCTATATTCACACACACATGCACACGAACACACACACACGCACACGCACACACACACACACACACACACACACACACACACACACACCCGCTTGGCCCCATACTCTTGTGCAAGAGCAGGTGCCAGGGTCCTTCTTTTTGCTTCGGCTGAGCTTCTCCTTTAGGGAGCTGGGACCCAACAAAAGAGGGGGACCTAAGACTCTGCAACGAAGAGCTCACCCCAGCCAGCACCCTCCACCACAGGGATAAAACTGAGGACCAGAGCAGGAGATTCAAACATAGGGAGGTGCAGTGTGCTCCTTCACTGTGGTGCTGAGTCTCCAGAGAGACTGGGGCGCAGGTGGTCAGGCCATTGTCCTCAGCTGGGCAGACTGCAGGCAGAAGCCAGAGCAGACCAGGGACTCTCTTGGAGGTTCCCTGCCTATGACCCGAGAGCTCAGGGACTCCAGCAGCAGCAGGAGTGGCCTGCGCATATGAGAACTCGCTGATGGAAGCAAAGTTATGAGATCAGAAAGGAACACGACCTGTTCCTGCTTCTTCTTGGTAGATTTATTGTGCACAAAGAAATGCACTTCTAGCAGCTGTTTTTGTTTTTTGGTGCTGGGGATAGAACTAGATACCCCAAGTCTAGTTCCCTACACCAACAACTACTTTGTGCACTTATTTGTACTTCCTAAACACTGGGCAAACCCACATGGAATGAAAATCCAAATCCTCCTGGCAGGAGGATTCTAAAGCCAGGAGGTGATCTGAAGATACCAGGAGCCTTGAAAATTATCCAGCCAAGGAGAAAATACCTTCCATTTGATTGCCGCAAGCTCATTGCTGCTGTGTGCTATGCTGCAGCGTGGATACTGGTGGATGAGGGGCAAGAATTCCTCTTCCAGTCCTAAACCCTTAAGAAAGGCTGCCCACAGTTCACCCCAGTTCCCCTACTTCCTCCCCACACAGTAGAAGGAAAGTGCTGCATGCATCAGGCTCTAAAGACACCCTGCTGCCTTCCCAGGCCACTTCCTTGTTCTCTCTGGGTATCATTCTCCCTGCATATTGCAAATGTGTTTTTCTTCCCATCTGGCTAACCAACTCAAATTAATCACATCCTCACTGTCATTCATCCTTGAGCCACCACCTACTTCACAAGAAAATAAATTCTGGGAGAGGCCTTGGATAAACGCCTTTGTCTGCATATCCTCACTTGGGTTGGGTTTAGGATCCCTTGGCTTCCCTTAACTTTGTATATATCTCAATATCTTTACTCTTACCATGGATTGCATTCAAGTGGTAGATTGTCATTAACTTGCCAGGATTCCAGTAACCTCTCCATGGGATTACAATAAGTTTTAAAATTGTGAGGAAGATTTTAAAAGGGATTACAGTACTTGATTTACAATATTTGATACTGGGATTACAATAAAGAAATAGCACCATAAGAACGCCCTTTTCAAAGGACTCCCTCTTGTGTCCTCCCTCTATGTCTCTGTCAAGACCCTTTTGCTCCTATACAAAGGGAACCAAACCTTCACTCAGTTACATTTGTACATAAAACCTCACTCCTTTACTTCAAAATGTTGCTTATTGACTACATTTCTTTCCAAATGCCAACATGGGAGTATTCTTTAACTGCAAAAGTTGTTTGGGCCAGAGTGGAAGTTATGATGTTGCTAAAAGTGAGGAGCTGGTGGGTAGGAAATTATTCTGCTCTGCTACTGTCCTGCAACCTCTGGGCGCTTCAGAGACCAGCCAGGTGACTAGTTCCTCCTACACTTCCCGCTGCCGACATGTACAAAAAAATGCACATAAACAACCCCCATCCTCTATCCTTTTTCCTGTCCAATGACAGCATAGTCTACCTACTTGTCCTTCACTTTTTTTTTCTTCTCTCCTTAAAACCACATCTTAGAAACCATTTCATACCAACACAAAACTGATACTTGACTTTTCAAATGGCTGGAGTATTCTCCTTTATGGCTGAAATGCAATTTCTTTAATCAGCAGATTGCCGATGGACATTAATGTGGGTTCCATACTTTCATGGCAAAATCTTGCTGCTTATTTTTGGTCCCTATTTTTGGTGTGAGCATTTGTATGTGACCACAGGACCAAATATCATTTTACAGTCCTGAAAAGAATGGATGAAGGTAGCAATTTTCCATGTTATTGACTATTTTTTCTACTTAGTCAAGTGAGTATGAAATCATAGATTTTAATTTTCATTTCCATAATAACTCATGGTGTTAAGCACTTTTTCACAAGTTTTTGGGCTATTTTTGTACCCACTTTGGACAATGACCAGGTAGGTGGCCCATCTGGGACAGGGGAGGGTCAGTTGGAATTTTGTGGGACATATTAGAGGAATACAAAAGAATCAAGCCAAGAGACACAACAAAGGCAGCTAAAGATCTGTTGTCCAAGGAGAGCTTAGTGAGCAAGAAAATGTAACAACCATAAATATCCTGAAGAACAAAACCACATCTCTGAGGTAATGGTTAATTTTATATATCAACTTCTCTGTGCTGTGAGGTGCCCAGACAGTTGGTTCAACATCATTCTGGGTGTACCAGAGTCTGAAAAGGTTAATATTTAAAAGGACAGTGTTTTAGTCAGCTGTAACAAAATACAACAAACTAAGTGGCTACATCAGGGATTAAATGTCAAATCTAATTCTGAACAGGGCACAGTGGTACTTGTCTGTAATCCCATCACTCTGAGAGGAAGAGGCAAGGGAATCACAAGTTCAAACCTAGCCTGAGCAACTTAGTGACTTGGAGATCCCATTTGAGAAGTTCCATTCTTAAGATGCATTTTTTTTAATACAATGGAGTCCTACTCTGCCACAGTAACAGAAATAAGCTTGAGACGTTCCTAGGTAAATGAATGTGACCTGAGACCATATTCTTAAGTGAATTAAGTCAGGCACACTTGTGTAGATACTGCATTATTTCTCTGATGTGTGAAACTGAAACTGTAAATATGGGCCAAAATATATTTTAGGAATTGTGAAATAGGAAAAAGATGTTCAAATGGAAGGTGAATGTGAGAAGGGGGCAGAAAGGAAAACAAACAAAAGTAAAAAACAAAAGAAAATAAAGAAAAAAACAGAAGCAAAGCTTTTGTAAGTGGAGAGGCAAAGATAGGTTGAAGAGAGGGTAGGGGAATGGGAAAAAGAATCAAGTTTTATCACATACAGGTACAGATTCTTTATGATGAATGTGATCATTATGTATATATCAAGTGTACCAATAAAATCCAATAAAAAATAAGTTTCACTCTTATGACACATTTACATGCTACCTCCAAGTACCATCTCACTGATGAGACTGAATCTCATCATATTCGGGGAAGGGAAGATCAAACATTTAGCTTGTGACCCATGGACTGAGTTGGGCAGATGGCCCTCCCTTGGGTCATTCAAGTCACTGGAGACCTGAGTAGAACACAGGAAAGAATGAAAGGGAATCTGCTCTCTGGCTGGCTGCTTGAACTGAGACTGCTCTTCTGCTATTGATCTGGGTTATGTGTAGCTTCAGCATGTCAGGCTCCTGGGCTAAGCCTCTGGCCTTGAACTAGAACTTGCATTACTAACTGTTCACTTCTCCAGGGATTTGGACTAAAGCTGATGTGTCACCAGCCTTCCCTCCTAGGAATCCAGTTATCTAGGGACTGCTCAGCTTCTATATTATATGAGTCAATGCCTTTTAACCTCTCTCTCTCTCTCTCTCTCTCTCTCTCTCTCTCTTTCTCTCTCTCTCTCTCTCTCTCTCTCTCTCTCTCTCTCTCTCTCTCTCTCCCCTTCCCCCCTGGAGGTTGTGGATGTGCACGTGTGTGTGTGTGTGTGTGTGTGTGTGTGTGTGTGTGTATCTGTCTGTCTGTCTGTCTGTCTGTCTGTCTCTGTCTCTGTCTTCCTCTCCCCTCACCAGGGTTTTGTTTACCCAAATCTTAAAATACCTGGCTAATCTAGTGAGTGCACAGTGAAGTACTTCTCTCCTGAATGAAAATCAACTCTTAAGAGACATGTGTAGTATGTCCCACAGACTTCATTCTTTGGTAAAGTCTGTGTCACTCTTGCCCCACTGCCTCGTCACAAGTCTCAATTGGCCCTTGCAACTTACAAGTCAAAAAAAAAAAACCATTAAATTATTGGATCCAAGACCCAGAATAGGCCACAGTAGTACACAGTATATATAAGGGGTTGATCATTAAATGTGGTGAATATTTAAATTGAAAATTTTACACTAAAAACACATTGCCAAGAATGATGGGAGGAATAGATGTGAAATGAGAGGGATAATTTTGAGTATTTATAGGAAGATTTATGGCATTATATTTTTAATGTAATATATTTTTAAAATTTAAACATTCACCCTATTTCTTGATCATTCCTTATTGGTCATTTTAATTTTGGTGTGTCCTGTCAAAGAAAACATTACAGCGTGTTCTCATTCTCCTTACTTACTAGAGTGGCACCATTTGACCTCTGATTTTTCCCCAAAGTCAAAATGACATGAAAGCTAAATGCTTTGAGTTAATTCAGGGCTATGTGGTAACCACACAGGACAACTGAAGATACACACAAAAAAGGATTTCAGGAACTGCTTTAGAAAGCGGCTAGAACGAGGGGCTAAAGTATTCAAAGTAAGGGGGAGTAATGGGAGGGGACTCATGCCAATGTGTCTTTACTGTAATTACATTTCTAAAAATATAAACATTCACTGTACTTCTTCTAATCACAACTCATACACTCTACCTGCCTCAGACCTGAATACAAGTATGAGACAATACAATTTGCATTTAATTTGCCTTGAATTGCTATCTGTCTAAGGCAGGAGACCTAGCTTCATCACTGTGCTGATGCAAATTCTTACCAGCTCACTGCTCCCTGAATTTATACAGGCTTTGAACCTGGAAAAACCTTCCTCATGTGCTCTCTCCTCTGAGTCCTGAAGGGGGATGGCAGAGGCCACCATTTTTGCCCCTGTCCCAGTGGTGTTTTCTGGTTCCTGTGCTCCCTGGGAAGCATGACCTCTTGGAAGCTCTCACCATGCAGCATGTGTTGTTCTCTAGATTATGTCTCCATGTTGTAACCAGGCAGGTAGCCTAGCACCTGTTCACATGTTGAGGCTGCTGCTCAGTTTTGCTCCCTGGTCTTGGTGGCTCAGAAGTAGGACTTTAATTGTGGGCTGTGCCACATACTCTGAAATTCTAGAAAGAAAGGGTCTGTCGGGTTAGAGTCCCCATCAGTGTCCTCAGATCTGATGTGCGGTTTCCCTCCCTGTCCATACTCCCCAAACCCTGTTTTCACTTCAGGTGGAAGATAAGACTGGGCCTTTTAGAAGATGCATAGTGAGTCCAGCAGTGGCCTTTGTTCTCATCTACCTTCCTCCCCTCTGTCCAGGTCACCTTGAGTGCTGGACAGAGAACACTCATTTGGAAACATTTATGGCAGATTGCTTGCTCATTAATACCAAAAAAATCCTTTTCTCTTAAGGGTTTTTTTTTTGAACTGTGAGTTTCTAGGTCCTATTTTAAAAAGGAAAACAGTGTTGTGTGTGTCCTTGAGTTCTTACCATTGCATTGTTAATCCTGGTGGTGAGGACTGAGGCTTGTAAGGTATGAAGACCAGGTTCTCAGATGCTGTGTGAGTGCTGTGTTTGCTTGCATTTGTCAAGCTGCAGCCTGTGCAAAGCAGGATTGAAACAAGTAGGTTTGGGGACAGTTCTGTGTTTTAACCTATTGTCTCTGAGGTCAGCCTGAGTTACATCTAGACTCTCCTGAGTTTCTTGGCTTATCTGAGCTTCATTGTCACATTTTGAAAAGAGTCAACAAAATACATAGTTCATAGAATTGCCTGGAGGATAAATGTGATACAAGTTGGGAACAGTAAGTTCTCAACTGATACTGCCTCCCATGCTGCTGTCTGGGTATGGAGCACCTTAAGGCCCATTCCTATGACAGATGAGACTGGAGGGAGTCTTTTCCTATCAACAGAGGATGTGACGTTTGTGAAAAGGAGGTGACGTTACTGAGGTGGGGAGGACATTCACAGGATAACATAGGATGCTCACAAAACAGGTGTGAACCCCACGGGACCCATTCCGAATTGGCATATTGCAAGATGTGCCCCAAAGTGTGCAGTTGATGAATGTTGATAAATACCACAAGCTGGTTAACCTGTGGCTGTTATAGAATTAGTACAAGGTGAAAAGACAAAGCAACAGATTTCAGGTCTACTCTGGGAGAATTTTGTGCAAGGAGCACTGCTGGCAGTGTCCTGGTTTGCGTTCTGCTGGTGTATTTTCATGGAACTAGATGAGAACTTGTCAGAAATATCAAGCAAGAGACTTGCATTAGAGGTGGGAGGTGTGCAGTGATCTCCAAGTCCCATCCTAACATTTGTGACTTTACAGAGTCAAAATCCAATTAATTACTCAAGAGACTCATAAAACAGGGAGTTCTGAAATATGATATTTTAGTTAATGATAAATGAATCAGATGATTTTTAAAGTGTATAAATATGTGTCTGAGTTAGTAGATTTTTTTATGTTAAAAAAATCTTATACTAAATCATTATTTGCTGTGCTCCCAAAGGAAAGTCCATCACTGTTGTATGAAGTTTCTTTTCTATTTTTGATGGTGGGGCAAGAGTGTGGGAAGAGGACAGAGGTGTATGTAGAGAAGCATGATTTTTTATTGTTTTTATCTCTTCAAGTTTAGTTCCCTCTGGTGAAAAGTGTACCAACTGTGTTATTTGTAAAACTTAAAAAATTGTCTTGCAAACATTAGATTGTCCTATCTTTGAATATGTTGTTTTTTTTCTATCCTCAATTATGATCATCAAAGTAATGAGTGCAGCAAAGAACAGATTCCAGGAGCCAGTGGCAACAACCAAAGCCTCCAGTGAGTTGAAATCAAACCCAAGCCTGGAGAAGCATCCTGTCCTGCCTTGCATCCCAAACTCCATCCCTGCACCCCTTTTTCCCATACTAGGTGGTGGACTGTATTTGTCAGAAGTTGTGGTTCCTTCCATTTTGGGAAATAGATATGATGGAGAAACGTTTTCTCCTTAAAACTTGCTACAATCAAATTGATGAAAATCAATGTGTGTAATTATGGCAAGCATTCAAATTCAGATCAGCTGTGCAGTGTCTATTGATAACTCAGACTGCCAAATAACTGCATGGATGTACTAGCTCATAGAATTTATTTTTAGTGGAATAAAAATGTAACATGATATTCAGTTACACAGCAAATGAATAGTAACAAAAATTCTGTCAACAGTATATACAGTAGGGTGTGTTTAGAAGGCACTCAATTAGTGAGTCTGGTATTGATGAAGAAGCCTATTTTGATGGTTTTCTACATTGCCTAGTACTTCATGAGGCTGTGGACATTCATTTAACAATGCAGTGTCTTTAGACCAGTAAACTTTATTCCCTAATTCAGCTTTCATTTGTGTAAGGTGAGGAAGGATCTGTATAAGGATAAGGTGAGAAGATACAATTAAACTTGCAATTTTTGTTCTTAAATATTTGTAACTTTCTTGCCTTCCTGATGGCAAACAGAAATAGCTACAATAAAAACACCATTTCCTTAAGCAGAGTTTTAAAGACAAATGCACAAGTACACTTGTAGAATACTTGTCACTGTGTGAGACTATGTGACGTGTTAGCCTAAGAATGTCCTCTACTAATACTTACATGCAAACAGAAATGTCTCAGTTCCCTGCATGCCCTTGTCTTTAGGGATGCACTACTGACACCCTGTATATTGCAGAGGGATTTTTAAAAAAAGGTCCCACCCTGGGAAAGAGGATGAGGGCTTGGGAGACTTCAGACCAGGATTAGAGTCTTAGTTTTACCACTGTTTCCCCTAAATAATCTTTGGAGATTTTAAAATTATACAATGAGGCTAGTGAATCATCTTACAAAATTTAACATTTTAAATTGTCTCCTCTTTGGGGCTAGGAAGTGGCAGAATCCAAGCACATTAATTCAGGGTTGGCTTGGAGTCTTGCAAGGAAATGAGGTCTAAAGTGTTTGCAAGTGAACTTTCATGAAATGTTTATCTTCCCCACAAATGATAGCAAATGACAAACATGATATTTTAAAAACTTTGTATTCAATTATTCACACCAAAGATATCCATTAAAATTATGAACATTTCTAAATATATTTCATGTATCATACATATATATATATACTTTATATGTATAATTACATATCAACAAAAGATTTCTTGCTGCTCTAAGCACATTAGTAAAACAGAGATTTTGCAATGTAACACTCATATATGCATATGTACTGGCTGTTTGAATTATGAATTTATTTACATCTTGCCTAAGTTTTAACAAATGGTTACTGTTCTATTATACAAACATAACAATAAAGGATTTTTAAATACAAAGACTGCAAATGAATACATGAAAAATTACACACATGTACAATATTTATAATTTATAAATGCAAAGTTAAGACCTCTTTAAGTTATTGCACTTATGCATTTTACAAAGATTTTTATGTTATACATATAAAATCATTTTTTAAATTTACTAGCTCATCAACTATAATAAAGTTGGATATTGTGCACTTGGAGTTCTTTCCCCTTCCAAAACAGAGCCTAGTAAGGCTTTGGATACAGACCTATAGACTGCAAATCAGTTTACTGTGATGCTGTGTTTTTGGTAGCACAAAACCTGTCTTACATTCCAGCAAGTTTTGGTCTGCAAGGACATTATCCCAAGTAAACCCCAGAAGACTTGGCTAGGTATAGATATAGAATCTCTTTTGCTCCTATGTCCCTGTAGAGAAAGTTACCTCTTCTGAGAAAGAATCAAGATGCTGCATTTGTACAAATTTGGTAACTGTTTCACAGTGTTTTGGGCAAGCATGTAATTTCAAATGGACAGGGGCATTGTATATAAATATCTTCTATGTATAAATCTATCATAGTTTCTGCTTGCACACTAAATGAACATGTAACATATACACCATACAACAGAGTATATAGAAAATAGTCCCACATGTCACTTATTGGCTATAGACCTAGGTGTTAACTACAGGAAAAAAACAAGATTTCAATGCCCATATGATATGATATTTTAGGTGGGCTAGAGAATTAAATAATACACTTTTGAAATTTAACTTACATTAGGAGTAAAAATTTCCACATAAATATCAAAAAAATACACAGTACCCAAAATTATTAGCTGAGCATTGAAATGATAAACCCCCTTCCCTATGTAGGAAACTCTGGGTCCAGTTGCAAGTTTCCACTTTGGTCCTTAGGTGATATTATTCTTTACCCCGACAGAGCAAAGCCCAGATCTGCTTCAGTTACCTTTTCTCATATTGTACAGTAAAGGGGCAGGCAAACCATACAGCTTACAAAACACTGCTTCCCACTGTGAGTTGAGAAGTAAAAATTTAAGTGAGTATCAATGTGCTTCTTTGAATTTTAAATGTGTTTTTCTTGGGAAACGCTATTTTTCTCTTTGTTCCAACTTCTTAATTTGGAACAAGACACGGGTAAACATTTTTCTTTCTTTCTTGCTCTTTTTATCATCCCATAAAATAAACTTAGTGCTTTAAACAACCAGACTATCTAATTTTTTAAAAAGAAGACAACTAAAAAGGTACATACTGCACTGGGTGTCACTACTTTAAAATTAGAGTAAATGTTTAACGAAGTCAGCAAAACGTATTATCAGGATACTTATACACAGGTTAAAATATAACAGCCATGCACTGAAAAGGAGGGGCACATAGTAACTGAGAGCATTCTTAAGCCAGATCAATACTTGCGATAGAAGGAATCCACCAAAATGGCAAAATGAACACAGTCTCTACAGTTAGTTACAGCAAAATCAAATCAGTAGAGTTTAGAAATCAAACACACTTGAAATATATATAGAGAAGTAATTTTTACAATCCAAATCATGCTTATGTACCTGACACTCAACAAAATCTTATAATCAGTGTCACAGTTCTTGGAAGTCCTGGCAAGAAAGGAATCTGAACAGCTCCTTGGTTACAGACACCAGGGGACATGTTAATGAAGTGCATGAAGTCAAAGGAGAGGAATCCAATGAGAGAAAGGCTCTATTCATTCAATTTGGCAAAGTTAACCAAGGATGTATCTCTTTAAATGTTTTCAATTATGCTTAAGCAAGGAAAGAAAAATCATGAATACATAAGTGAAGAAGTAAAATTTCAGTATTTAAAATAAAGGCACAGGCCATGACATGGTGGATAATTTAGTCCTATTAAAGCTCAATCCTTAATCTTGAGTAGTTAAAAAACCAGAATAAAAACCATTTAGAAACCCAGGTATCTACATTTACTCATCTCCACGAAACCTGTACAAATGTATCTAGTATATATGAACATACTAATAAAGCAACATTCACTGAGATTGTATAAATTAAAAACTTAAACATGCTAAAATGGGGAAACCTACACAGAACAAAATAGTTTCAAATTAGTCTGCTTTTGTTGCTGTGGGAACAAGTACCAGGAAAAATCAGCACTGCAGAGACCCCCTGAGCAAGTCCCTCTCCGTGAGGGAGGCCAGGAGCGGGCACAGTGGCGTCCAGCGTTCCCACTGGGTCTCTTTCCAACACAGGTTTCTCACATGCTTCTTGGACATAATTAAAACTGGGTAACAGTAAAAGGGCCTTTTTTGATAGCTATTTTTCTCTTTTGTTTTCCTAATAAATCAACTCAGAGAGTCAACTGCCAATTAGAAGGGTACCTACAGTTTTAAAAGATATTTCATGTCATTGTTGGCATGCATTTATATTTCCAAGAACATTTTTAGTAAAAAAATATATTCACAAAGTTTGTAAAGATGATGGAGTAACTTCATGTGATAATAAAATTTGTCTATAATTAATCAATATGTTTCTACAAATCAAACATTCTATATTTAGTCATAACTAATAACAAAATTTATACTGGATAATAAAAATTTGGCCTACTGTAAAATATTATCTGAATGAGAAATTAAAAAAAAAAAAACTTTTAGGAACAAAAAAAAAATCACCTGCCTGGTTTCACATTATCATTTGTGAAAAGATCTGGGGAAAAATAAGAACCAGAACTCAAAAGTTTGTGAAAATGTATTTTTCCAAGATACTTCTGACTTAAATGTTTTCCAAAACAAGTATCACCCATATATACGCAGGGCTTTTCTAGCTTATGTAAATACTTGCTTCATAAGTAATTCAGTTATGTATGGTAAAGGCTATGTTAAGTTTACAGTGACATACAATCCATTGTTTAAACTGTTCTTCAATCGTGATGGTAGCTCACAAGAAGTTAACCATCCAAAAACTCCGTATGTATTCCGTTTGGAATTTGGTCAAAGTAGAGGTCATGTAACACAATACTCTTCAAGTTTCTGTAATATTGTTATTATAACAGCAAACTTAAGATGCAAAGAAGCCATGGGATTTCCACTACCATGATTCTATTCCATACAAAGAGGCACAATACATGTGTTTCTTTAAAATACTTTTAAAGTAATGTTCAATACACCCTTCTGAAATTCAGCTTCAAATTTAAATGATTGAATTACCTTGTGTCACTAAAGCTATATGTGGTAGGAACCAGTTTCATATATTTGTAGGGGGAAAATATGCATCCAACTAGAATCAGCCTTATGAATACACCATTATAAAACTGATATCCACTATTTACTTATAATCAAGCATTAGATATGTCCCAACACAAAAAACACTGCTTGGGCAGAGAGGGGTGACCTTTATTTTTTGTAGGTTTGCTTTTTCTCCCTCTGTTTCATATGTGTATCATATACATATACATTTAGGTGTATGTCTACATCATGAATGTGTATCATATATACATCTCTGTGTGTCTACATACGTTACATACATACATGAATGTATAGACCTTTGCTCAGCATTATGTTTTATTTCATATTATACAGTAACAATGGAGCTCCATGTAGGGAAGATGGTAACCTTAGAAGCCCATATGGAAATTGAACACATAGTGTTAATCTAAAATAAGAACACTATTTATGTATAGCCACCTCTCTACAGCATAAATAAAACATGCTGTAGCAACTTGACTTAATCTTGAAAAAGCAAAGTTCATGTGGACAGCAATGTGTATAGTATTGAGTCTGCAGAAACATTGTTTTAAAAATTTACTTTTAAAAGCAGTATTCCTGCCAGGAGAATAGGAACAAGTTCTTTGTTGTGGATTGTCTGTCTCTCTAATTCCTTCAGATGAGAACTAAGTGCAGATTCAGGCATCACTGAATCGCGGTGACAACCACCCTGAAAGTGCTGACATGTACCAGAAGTAACTGTCTTGACACCAGTGGAGGACAGCCAGCATATTCCATTGTGATTTTTATTAGACATTATTGTAAGATGTTACAGTAATATTAACCTGTCAGAAGTCGTATACAAGAAACTAACCAAGCCATTCGTTCCTCTGTAGATGTGTGACCTGGGAGAAGAACAGAAAAACTGGGGACATTGTGATGGTGCTGCTTCCTCCTGCTGGCTGCAGAGTGTGTCCACCCAAGCATGATGGAGCAGTGACAAGAGGGACAAATGGGACCAATGCAGCTGCCTAGAGTACATTGCAGAAGACTAACACTTGATAGTGTAATGTGACTTAATGAGAAATGTACGGTAATTTCATGAAATAATTTTTAGAATAAACCTTTTATTTTGAACATGAGTAAAAAATGTTGCCATAACGCAAAGTGAAAACGGAATCATTATTAAAAATTCACATTTTATATCCACAAGATGTATTTTAAAAAGTAGTATGCCTTGCTTTTATTTTGTTCTTTATGCAAAGGGTTCAGTAAATTTGCCACAGCTACAATGAAGAACAAAGTTTGGAAAATTCCTTGACATCTTTTAAACCAAGAGTGGAAGTGCTGAACTTTATGGGGGATGCATACATGTAACTCTTCACAGGACAAGAGTCCATGTCCTTTAGTGTGCAAGGGATTTGCCTGTACCCTCTGTTATAATGCACCTAAGAGAATGAACTCTGATTCACCTGAAATCATGAAGCTGTGGAACAAGAACTTGACTTTTTCCTATCACTTCTTACTCTGTCCCCTTCGTGACACTGTCCTGAGGCTGTGGCCTACAACTCAAATTAACCATAAGGAGATCACACATGAACATTCATGACAGCAATGAGTAAAAGAACCCTATTTATAACCAGCAATAATAAAGCAATACTCGTGTTAAAGCCAGAGTACAATAGCAGAGTAGTACCATTTACACCCTTGTGGAAAGGCGCAAGGGAGAGTACCCTTCAGAGTTGTCTTTCCCTTCCCAATAACGCTTTCACAAGGTTAGCCTGTTACAAAGTGGGCTCAATAGTCCAGTGGAGTTGCTGGTCTGCTGACATCCAACACAGAGCGGTCCTGGCTGCTCATTGTCTGGGGCACGTGTCATGAGCTTGGCAGGGAGCTGGCTGCTCCACAGACATACTGATGTTCCCTTGTCCAAGGGTTTGCCCTCTAGTCACTAGGTGTAGGTTTTCCCAGTCAAAAATAAAAGGAAAAAGCGCCAAAGAAGCAAGATGAGAACCGCTGAGTGGGACGCCTGGTCCATGACCATCAATCCTGGGTCTGGGTCTTCACAGGATGCTTCTCAGAGGTCCCCTCTGCTGAGATCCACAATCCAGTCTCCTCCCCTCGAATCACCTTCTCCCACTGACTCAGATTATCCCTGTGGAGAAAAGAAACAGTTGTATGAGAAGTTTAAAGAGAGTTTCTAGACTGTCTTGAAAGTTGAGCCAATGGCCCTGAAGCCAATGACTAAGCAGAGTGGCTTCTTGTGACACCGATGTGATGCTGATAGTGACCAGACAGGCTCTGCAATTGTCCCTTGGGAAAGAGCCTCAAAGTGACTGAGCTGAGATCAGTTCACACTGCTGGCTCATGTATGCAAAGACAAAAGCCATTCCGAGGCCTGGAGTTTTGTTTCTGAATCAGTTATCAAGATGCTTTGGTTAGGGTGAGTCCCAGGGCTTCCTGCCAGGACCAAGAGACGGCAGGGTGAGAGAGCCTCTAGCACCCAAAGGAGCTGCAGGCCTTCCAGTTCCTGCTCTGTGTGGGGAGAGAGACAGTAAAACTTCTGGGAGGCCTCTACACCCTTCTCGCCTCACACCTGTGCACTTGTATTGTGAATACCGTGTCACACACGAAAATCATCTTGAAGTACACATGGCCACAAACATAAAATTTTCTTACTACAGGAAAATCCCATTTGGGTCCTATTGACCTCCCTTCTGAAGGGCAGCCTCCTTTCTCCTGATGTCCTTTGATCTTTCTCTCTTCCTGTTCTTGGGGCAAATCACAGGTATGGTAGTGTGTAACTGTAGAACCATCTCTTACTCTCTGTGGCTAACCTGGCAGGGCTCTTAGCAATTGCACCTCAACTTTTCTTTATTTTATGCAAAGTCCAAATCATATAAAATTAATTATTTCCTTAAGTTTATTCTAATAACAATCAAACTAAGACACCTTGGAACAAAATAAACTTCCAGCTGCCATTGCTCAGGTCCTAGAGATTTTCTGATATGCTGTATTGGAAGAAGACATATACTAAATTTGGCGTGTCTCCTTGAGCAACAATGATACATGCTGAATGGTTTAAACGTTAGCAGATTAAGCCAAGATCAGCCAAATATATTAAATTAGGAAATGTATCAACATTGCCAACACAGTTAAATGTCACATTCACAAAGCTTTCTAAGGAAAGTTGCTCGATGACATGGTCCAGTGTATATGACCCAGGAACCAGTCATTCTTGCTGGCTTTTGTTATTTAGCCTAAAACAGAGATTGGAAGGAAAAGGATTTAGACTACTGCTTAAGAGATGTGTTTAAGTTGTACATCTAGATTTAGATTGACATTTCAATTTCTCTGGAATGTGTACTCACTTTTAAAGCTGGATCCCACTAAGAACAAGTCCTAGCTCACACTTCCCACTGTCCCTCATGGCTTTCCCTTATGTGATGGGATAAATGACTCAGGTGGGCTAAGGCTGGAATGTTCCATTAACCTTCTCAGCAGTAGAAGGGAAACAGGAACTATCAAAAAAGATTCTTTCAAAAAATGCTTTTTTTTTCCTTTTGTTTGTTGTCCTTACAAAAATAGTACATAAAAAAACTGTAACATCAGAAAGTGGGAGTACACTATTTAAATTTGGGTTTTGTTTAAAACTATCTGGCTAAATGCCTATGCTCTATCATCCAAGGGTGTATCCACTGGGTCCCCAAGGGCAGTTCTGGATGCCTGGTTATGAACAGCCCCTTGACACTAACTCATATAGGGTATGTTATAACCCTTTCCTCTTCTCAGAGGGAACTATCTTAAAAGTAAAGTGCAATTATTTCAAAAATTTCCATGTCCTTAACTGAGTTTAGCTCTCAGAAAAGATGGGGGAGAAGGGAGGTATATGAATCCTAGGATAGTAGATGGCTTAAATTTGTTTTGGGAAGGAAAATTAATACTTGAAGAAGATCTCCATTCAGATTTCCTTGTAAACTACAATGTAATCTGAGCTCCTGCATTTCTTAATAAGCACTGCTGAGGAGACATTGTTGATTTGTCTTTTTCAATAAAAACAGTATTGCGCATGTAGGGGACCTCTGCATGATGGAAAAATACCTGCAGGCTTTTTCCTGGTGAAGGATGTACCCTTCACACACACTTGTACAGTACACTGAATGAGCAGGGTATGGCAGTGGGATTAGTGACAGCCAGCAGGTCTGTTCAAGCATCTCCCAGGGCTGTGCAGTGTACCATGGGCTGGAGGACACAGCCTGCGATGGTTTGCAGGAGTTGAGACCTGTCAGCACACTGTGATGCTCACAGCCACTCAATAGAGCTCCTCTAAAGACCTTCTCCCTCCAGGAAGAAAGACTCTGATCCTGGCCCAGGCAGAGGAGAGGTATACAAGGCAGGATCTCTGACTCTGAGCATGACCTCTGCGCAGAGCCCTCTCTATATATCATTCACTCAGCTGACCATTGGCTCTCTGACACCGGCTGTGTTACCTGCCCTGCCTGCCAGACACACTGCTAGAGCATCAGCTGTGTCTGAGACCCATTTCTGATGAAAATCAACTGAAGAGAAGAAAGCTCACCCTGGGAGGCTGTCAGGCAGGAACACCTGACACTCTCAACAACTTGATACCTAGACAAAGACCCGAACCAATGTTGATATTTATTATAAACTACAGTTTATAATAAATCACAAGATGATGGGATAAAAACTCCTGCACAGAGCCTTAGATTTTTAAGAACAGTATTCCAGGATGAATCACGGTACCTACCTGCAGGCTTTGAGGAGCGGCTCCGTGGGAGGCAGGATCTGGGACAGCGTAGTGTAGCAGGGAATGGCTACGGCGTTGTAGAATCCAATCTGCCTCAGGGAAGATGTGGGAAAGAAAGAAATTTCTCATTAGTGTTTCTGTTTGCACTTAAATTGTCTTCTTCTGAAGTCTATAAAACTAAATGTTTTAGTTTTTATGTATATTATATTTGGGTTGGTATACATTATCATTGATTATAGTTTAAAGTGAATTAAAATACATCTGAGAAATTACATGTAAAACTTTAGACATACTACAAAAGCTACACTTGTGGAAGTCTAAACACACCTGGGTTAAATGAGATTGTATTCATAGATCAGTTAAATTTACTTCAAGTCCCCTTGTCACTGATCCAGTGAAGGCATTTCAAAGTCAAACACGCTCTTCTCCTGCATATGTGACCCTATTCCATCCTAATGTTACAAATTACCACAATATTTTTTATTTATGTGTTCCTCTCCATTTCGTACCTTGTATGATCATATACTCCCCTATTTCTTTTTTAATCTAAAAATGCCATTGATTTCATCATACCTTTCTGAAGTTATTATTTTATTGATATATTAGATTTCACAGTTTTAAATTCTGTTGTACTATAAAATGTATTAAAGAATACTTTTCTGGACTTATTGATCATTTGCAAGTAGATGATGCTACTTTAGACTGGTCTAGGGAAGCAAGATTTAAAAGACTGTGAAACTCTTAGACAAGGAACACATGATTGCCTAGCTCTTGGTAACTGCTCAAAGTGGCTAGTCACACTCATACAACTGGTCAACATCCAGCTCAAATACAATATAACTTGTCAACAGGTATAAGATAAAATTGGCTCTGGAGTGATCATTAACCATAGCTATTAATTTCTTTTAAAAAGATGAACTTCAAGGAACTCCATGAAAGGATATAAAAGAATCAAATCTACAGGGTTCCTCTCTGCTTTCTTCTGGTGTAATGTTATACCCACAGTTATTTATTGGACTAATGCATATACATTTCAATTTTTAAATTAAGTTTGTTTCTCATGCAGAGATGATCTTACTTCAAATTTAACAGATGTCATGCATAGAAAATTCCAAGAAAGAGATTATTGGAAAATATAGAATTTCATTTTGATGACAGAGTAATTTCATAGTAATCAATAATTTAGAAGTAAAATAGTTGGTAAAATATTAGTTAATCACAGAGAATTAAAAAAATATTTTTTTGAAACAAGGTCTCACTATGTACGTAGGCCGACCTTGAACTCATTATGTAGCTCAGCTCAGCTCTCTCAGGCTGGCCTTGAACTTTTGATGATCTACCTGCCTCAGCAACCTGCGTGCTGGGATTACATTCATGCATTATCTTTGATAGAGATATTTAAAACTTTCCTATACTTCACAACTAAAAGATTGCTTCTTGGGCTTTTAGCTAATATCAAAGATATAATGCTTAAAGATTTTCATGCAAAGTACACTATTCTAAAACAAAGTCCTCTAATTAAAAACACTAGCACAGAACTCATATTCTGTCAGCATCAGAAATTACACATTCTTCTGGGGGTGACAATTTAATCACTTAAAAAGAAAAAAAAAACGCTAGATTCCTTTCTTATTCTTTATAACAAGATAAATTCCAAGTGAATTAGCAATCAAATGTAATTGAACAAAAGAAGTAACTGAAAAGGGTATATGAAAACGCTTATATATTTTCAGAAAAAAAAAAAGACTTTTAAAATATGACAAAAAAGTAGACACGAAATAGGAAAGACTGACATCAGTGTACTGATGGTAAAAGCAACCAAACTCCAAGTACATACATGTGTCTTGCATAACAGGGATGGCAGTTGCACTTTCAAATGAATGACAATGAGCTCCTCTCAATGAGGACACGAGTAGGCACTTGGCCAAAGCACTCCCCTGGAGTTTATGTCAGAAAAGAATGTGGGTTCATGGCAGTGTCATCTGTGGAGAGACACTGAGAGCTTATGAAATCCAGCTAGGATTTCCAATTTCACTCTTCAATCATCAAACTAAGGGCCAGTGGAGATCTCAAACATTTCTCTCCATCCTTTTAGCCCATGGCACAGCCATGCCCTCCAGCTTTCATTTTGTATTTAGCCTTGGATGCAAGGGTAGAGGTCAGAGTTGGTTTTCACATCTAAGCTGCAGCACAAACTTTTGGAGTCTACTTTCCAGTCAGTGAGATTTTTAAGAGTTCCTGAGACTACAAAAGCTCACTGGAGTGAAGGAAGTCTCCAAGGTAAAGAGCTGTTCTCTACAGAATAAATCACTTAAGTTTCTTCACTCATCAGCAGCCCTGGACTGATCATCCCTGTACTCAAAACGCACTGCAAAATGGCGCATGCTTTCTCTTCACAAATGACGCTAGAACAACCTTAAGCTGTCTGACTTAACAACTGAGCTCTAACAATCAGTACCTGGCCTTGTGGGACTTCATCCTTTTTGTCTCTGTCCATCATAGGTATGGGCTGTATCCCAAGTTTCTTCATTTCATCACCCTAAAATAAATCAGAGTTGGATTATTCTTTCTCAATAGTCATAAAATTTGGTATTAATGATTTGTTCCCTATGTTCATCAGTTTTTGTCAAAATGAATAATGTTTCTGGTTATTGTCCTAAGAAGCATGCCAAAATACTGTAGAGGTCAGGCTCTCTTCCAGCTCTATTGCAGTTAGTTCAAAGGGTAACGAGTGGGAACAAACCAGGCAGCATGGAATGACCTCAAGGCCTCTGTCATTTCTTTCTCAAATGATTCTTCATGAGAGTGGGGCTGGAGAAGCTGGGCTTCAGAGAAGAGTTTTGACAGGAAGAGTGAAAGACAGTCTACTGAAGGGTAAGGGTACAGGATGCCTGACCACAGGCACAAAACCCATACTTAGAGCTAACATTTGTAAGAGATTTCCTAGGTCAAAGGTTCTGTGTTATACAATTTCTAAATGTTACTTCATTGATTACTTAGGAATTGCTAGGAGACGGTATGTTATTACATTTTCTAGATCTTAGACATCATCTTGCTTTGAATTTAATTATTTGTTAAAGCTTGACTAACAACTTTGTAGATTTGCTAGAATACAAGGCAAAAATGAGTTTTCATGAAAGGATGCAGCTAGGTGCCTAGAAGCACAACTTGTTCAGTAATGCGATCACTGTAGCACTGTAGTTAGTGGTTTTGAACCTGTTTTCTATCATAACTGAGTGAAGCCTACCAATTCCCTTGGTCTCAGTGACTTTTTAAGCTCAAGAAGGAAGCAGATTTTAAACAAACAATGCCTGACTACGTACCAAAAGTAAGGATAAATACAACAAAGAAAAATGACCCGGACTGTGGACCACAAATGTAACAAGTGCTTCCAGGGAACACAAAGAGGTGGAGGGAGGTCAGTGATGGCCACAGGGAGTTCAGTACATCATGGTCTTGCATTTAGTCTTTGTCACAAGAGTGGCAGGCCATTTGAAGCAGTAATGAGAATTATCATCATCCCTATGTGGCAATGTGTCCACTGAAGACTTTGATAGGCTAGAAAACTGTCTGAGGTTATGCAATAATTGCCAAAGCAGGATCTTAGTCTCAAACATGCAGACCATACCCCGCCAGTGTGATTGTGACTGACTCTGAAAGATGCCGGGCAGAAATTCAGGTGGGAGTTACAATCATGTAGAGATGACATGGTGACATTCCGGAAGGAGGGAATTGCAAAAGAGAGGCTGGACCTTGTGAATAGTTAGGTCAACGGCAGGGATATACGGACATCTCCTTCCAGAGACTAGGGGGTCATAGAATACCATGCCTGAAATCATGCTAAATGCTCCATCTGCATTTCTGGATTGAATTATCAATGAGGCACATAAAGAGAAAACACTGATTTATATTTTAGAATATAAATATAATTGGTAAAGTATGAAATATCCCTAGCTACTTAAAATTAAATCACAACACAATGGCTAACTGCAGAATGGCTTTCCTCTGTGCTATTTATAGAATACTCTGGGGTAAATATGTAAATTAGGTTGACTGTGATAACAAAATCAATTATTACAATTCATACAAATACATCAGAAACAGTGTCTTGAGTCTGAAAGTAACTAAGTTACGATACACATACAATAAAATAAAGAAGACAAGTCATGCAAATGCTTGCATACACAAGGTATAAGGAATTCTACAGAAATAGATGCATAACTTTAATCATTTCAAAGAAGAAAAATGTTTTGGCTTTTCCACCATGAAACAATTTAATATTATAAATAATTCCTTTTTAATTTGCACATGAATTATCTGTTGTTTTTGTTTTACTTTCCTTCTTTACTATAGGGGAAATACGAGGTAGAATTAGCTACCACAAATGTCTTTGACCTCTAAATTTACTTAGTTTTTCACACCAAAATAAGTATTCAAAGAATTTACAACTTGTAATGAAGTAATTTTTTAATATATACAGTCCTAGATATTTGTGATTGTATTTTATTTTCTCATAGAAAACAAACAGGAATAACATCTATATTACTGATAATTTATTTAACAAAAAACATGCTAATGGAAGTCACACATATTTGTTTCAGAAGTATCATAAATTAATATTCTACACATTCTACAGAAATCATAATTTGCAGGTGAGCTGACCACTGGATGTATTTATAAGTTCTCTTTTGTCTGTGGTACACCGTGATTATTCTTTTAGTTTCTAACTGCAAGCAGATACAGCACATTCAGAGTACACATCTAGTAATGTTTACTGAATGGCCAGAAGATGAGCTGTCAAGTGAGGAAAACTGTTACACTAATGCTCAACTTAGCGAATAAGTGCCTGAACTGAGATTGGAGAATTTACGCACACATCCAAGTAAGACATAAAAGAATGAATGTTCTCACTTTGTCTCTACATAATTGCTAAATCTTTCAGCTTATGTGATCGACCACATTTTCCAAAATATTGTAACTATCAACATCAGCAATTTAGGTATTAAGAAAATTATCCATACATTTAATTTTTCTTCATATATTTCCCCATTCCTTGATATTATCTACCCTAATATAAGAATCAAGGACATACCTCTGCCCAGAATTCTGCATATATATCATTTGCCGTCAACTTTGTAACTGGCCACAGTTTTGTCACAGAACAAAGGTCACAGGCTGTCATCATCAAGCCAATTACACGGTCTCTGGAATATAAGGCAACATTGGTCAGCATCGCAACTGCATGTTTGTACGAAAAGGACTGAAGGGACTTCTGATTGCAGGGATGACCCTTGTGTATGCATTATTTCACAATGAGAGAAAGATAGCAATAAGCAACGGGTCCAAGTACCAACCAGGATACTTGTAAAAAATTTCATAAATAAAAAATTTCATAAGTTTGTAAGAACATCAGTCACTTCCATTGCTAGTTTCATGGGGTGTATTAAATGTTTCTGTTCCCTAAATATTATTGTTGAAATCAAATGTAATATAGGTTATGTGCTACTGTCTTTTACATCTCCTGGCACATTTACATTGCTATAGACCAGATTTCATTCTCATGGAATTCTGCAAATTTAAAATGGAAAAAATCTTCCTGAGAAAATCTGTCATAATTCTTCCATTCTATACAAGGAAAATCTGAGGTGTACAGCAATGATACGGCTTCTGTGAGGGAGCAGTGGCTGAGGACTAGGTCCGGAAAGGTGTGACAGAGGCTTTTCCTGTCTCTGCTGGCAATGAATGTAAGAAGGAAACAACTTTCCTAATGCTGTTTTGCATTTATTCAAACAAAATGAGACTCCTTTTCAGCTGTGTGGCACTTACAACTATGTGTTCCAGTCTATTTCTTCTAAATATGTCTCAACCTTTCTCTTGGAGAAAAATAATAAATACTTTAAAGATTTAGGTATATCGACTGTATACCTGCTGGGTCCAGCAGAAATGAAGACTACATTTAATGGGAAAACTAAGCAGCGGTTATTAGGAATTTTAAGATAGTAACTTGGACTTTCATAAAGTAAATTACATAATTTAAAAGACAAATTATCATTAAAGATCTGAAACTGTAAAAAGTGAAATGATGTTACAATTTACAGTTCACACTAGATTCTAATGAGGGATACACTGCCATGAACACACCTCACTTCCTGTGTGTCTACAGATATTCTCATTGGGTTCCCTAGCCTGTCCTAACCAAGGAGACAGCACAGCAGGAGCATCTACCTGCCAACTTGGCAGAGAACTCTGATCCAGTTGTACTCTTTCATGACAAAGTTCCACTCTAATGATAAGATTCTGTCTCTTCTTATTAACTGCATTTTAAAAACCAATCAATTGCAAAGTTCATCTGCTTCCCATCATCCCATTCCCTTTAGTACATTGAACTAAACGTCTTGTACAATCTCACTTCCCATAAAGAAACATTTTAAGACTGCATCTCTTAAATTCTCTTTACAGGTTACATTAGATGACTTAACAAACATTGATTAGACCTGACATATAACCTTCCTGTAGCCTCAAACAGAGGCAACATGAAGATCCAAATCCTTAAATCTATTAGTAAACTATATTATTTTCCTAATTAAGTAGTATATGGCTTAAAGAAAGAATATTTGGAGTTATTTTTCTAAAAGTTTAAGAATATTAGCTGTTTCCTCAATAGGTTTATTCACTTAAACAGAAACAAAATGTAAAAGCTGATTACTCTGTTCATAAAAAATTTCATGGGATAAAATTCAATTTTATTCCATCTATATGAACACACATATTTATTTTTCTTGCTAAAAATACAGTTGGCTATAATCTCAAAAGAAATTTATTTCATACATCTATAAAACAAAATAAATGCTAATAAAATTGGGCATTATAAAATATATAGAAAGAATCACTGCACGTGTAGGGATGCTACTACAGGAGTTGAAAAAAGTGTATGAAATAGTTACTATAGATTTGAGATTCTGCTGTCAAAATTATTTAGGCCAAACAGTGTAACATTAGCTGGTTTACTAGTAACCAAGGAAGTAAAAGAATTATAAATCTAGCACAAAATGATTTTTGTAAATATAATTACTCATTTTTTATTTTCAATTAAAAATAAGTTAGATAGTCAATGGTGTGCAGAATGATAACATTAAGTTAGAATTAATGTTTCATTTCTGCATGTAATTAGTATACAGATGTAGCTGATATACTTAATTCTTAAAAGCAACTTAACAGCCAGTTGTGAAAGAAATGGATTTACATAAATATACTCTTGGTATAACCTCATACAACCCAGTCACTAAAAGTATTGACGCTAGACTCCAATAAATGGCAATGATACAAATAATTCATTGTTCAGCAATTTTAGAGGGTTTGACACATTCGTTTACTCCACAAGTGTTTGAATGCACCAGGCAAAATTACAGCATTGAATGAAGTAGGCCTTGTTCCCATAAAACATTCTGGCTAGGACAGGGAAACCATAAGCAGGTACAAAAACATTCATGTAGCAATAGCACTGTGTAAAAAACGCAAAGAGAAAAAATAGAAATAACTATAGGAAGCTTTATGAGAGGTGCCAGCAGAGAGGAGTGTGAGAGGGCCAACTGTGGAAATAAACGTGGCCTGCCCAAGATGAGAAGAAAGCCACTCTCGCTGAGCTCTAGGAACAAAAACAAATTGAGACAAGTCAGCCTAAGAAATGGGCTGCAGATGAACTGGGAGTTTAACTTTTTCCCCAAGCTTGACAGTATGACATAGAAAGCTTTTCCCAGAGGAGTGACACAACACATTTTAGAAAGAATGGCTTAGGGCTACTGGTTGGAGGATGACTTGGACGGCTGTAGGGACCATGGCAGATTCTGAGAATTCTACAGAGTTCAGATGGGAGATGGTGGCAGCTTTACTACAGTGACACCTGTGGAAACATCAGTGGGAAGATTCTGATACCAGAGACAAAGCCAAGTAATGTTTTGTATTCACAGACACTAAAATGATAAGGCATGGTGGGATCCAAGGCATCATTCCCTTTGGATTTCACCCCGTCCACTGTCTTAACCTAGGCGGACAAGGAGAAATGAAGGCTCTCTTAACAGGTGTGCAGGACTTCTGTCTTGGCAGAAAGGGTGTTGCTCATAGGTACACATATTTGCCTTCCCTTTGCACTTTGAATTCTCTTCTCACCACAGATGGTCACAGAACTTGACAAACGGGAGCAGAAAAAAAATCACCCAGTCTATAGGAGTTCTGATGAGCTGCTGATGGGCCAGAAAGAAGCCCCCATCCTATACATCCGTAGAGCTCACCAGCCAAGAATAGAAAGTCTTCTGGAAAAAGTAGAAACAGCAGCAGAAAAGAAAAAGGCAGTAAGTAACATCACAAAAGATTTCAGGTAGAGGAGTGGGAACCAGTACAGACTGCATGCTCACATGATCACGATTGCAATTATTCCTTTCTGTAAAGATCCAGATCACAAAGGCAGGATGGGAGCTGCAGCATCTTTACTGTTCTCTGGGCCTGTGCAGAGATCTTTAAGGCATTGTCCTAGTCTACCAATAGGGAACTGACTTTATATCAGGGAAAAATAAGATCTGTGGTGCTGTGGGGTGTAGGTCAGTGACATAGCACTTGCCTAGCAGGGAGGGACCTTTGGTTCAATTACCTGCTCTGCAAGGACAAAGACACACAGCTCAACTAAAACATCAGCTTTTGTTTCCTATAACACAGGTGCGGTAGCAGGGTCCAGATAGAAGACAGAGGTCACACCAAAAAGAGTCAAGACTACAGGAAGGGACACAATAGATCAGCAATGCAGGGAAGTCTCTGCTTCTGAAGAGGCAAGGGAAGAGAATAGCTGCCAAAATCAGCAAAGTCCATGTTTGTAGGTTGCCACGCATCATTCTCCCATCATACCACGCACCAACACAGACAAAGTCAGACAAGAACACGTCAGCTGTTCTCCCCTCCATGTCTAGGCTTCTGTGCTGCACCAGGAGCTGAGCGCCCCCACAGCACAAGGCACACCTCAGCAATGGACAGCAGAAAGTTGCTGTTCACACACGAACTGACACGTGTCAGTTCATCTGCTTAAAATATCAAGCTGCATCTATATATTCAGATGTCAGTATGACATTGAAATAGAAAAATAGCATTTAAACCCAAGTTTGAAATAAGAAAATTCATGCCATTAGTCTTCATGGACTCAATTTAAGCTATCTGAATAGTTCAACACAAAACTGCCACTAAATAATGGAGATAAAACATCAAGTCCTGCTCATCTTAGAATGTTTATACATATACATATATATCTATATGTATATATATATTTGATTAAAGACCAGAATTCTTTTTTTCACTTGGATACTTTATGTCCTAATCAATATTTAATTAACAGATTGTTTCTAATTTTATATTGGTTCTTTGAAATTTCTCTTGAATAACTTACCACAATCAAAAGTGTATTAATATGTACCAAAGTCCAGATTTCTACTGTGAGGGAGTCTTACAAATGCTACAGTGGTTGAAAAAACTGTGGATACAGCATCTAAGTAAAGAGGAAGCACCTGGAGATACAAGGGGATAGCTTCCCTACAAGCAGCCACTGAGCCAAATTTAATTTTAATTTAAAAGGACATATATAGCATTTGCCGAGATTAGGTAAATTTTTTTCCCCTTCAGGTATCAGTTTAACGTCTGTATCTTGTTTTTAAACTTATTCTCAAGGCATTTTAAATCACTAAATTGAATGAGTTAAGAGTGGTCTTCTGCACTAACACTTAATCAGTTTCCCTGAAGACATGTGAATTGTTACAGAACTAAAATCATAAAAGTACTTTTAGAAACTATTTCCAATGGCATTAATGATAACTCTTTAATATAAGCATAAACATGATACAGTAATTATTTCATTAAAATATATTTTAAATTTCTGTTAATTCCACAAAACTCTGACTGTGTTGCTTCTTTTAAAAGTATCATTAAAGAGAAAAAAAAAAAGTCACAGCTGCATAGAAAATGAATCAAGTAAATATGCTCTAAAGGGATCTTCCTTTATTACAGTGTACCTGTGGGACAGACCCTATGTTAGTCTCTGGGTTCAAGTCACTCACAGAGAAATCTGGGGATGCGTGAGTACTTCAAATCAAAACATTCACTTTAGATTAAGTTTCTCCACATGCAAGCTCTTTCATGTGAACTTAACACATCTCACACACTAAGGTCA